TGAATGCTAACTTGTACAGGTGAAATGAGAATACTAAGCAATGGAATCATCATAGTTAACTATCTTTCTTTTATTTTTTTTTGCATACTTACTATGTGCCAGATATTATGCTAAAAACTTGCAATGCAGCATGTATGGTGGCAGGCACCTGTAATCCCAGCATTTGGGAGCCTGAGGCAGGAGGGAGGGGCAAGTCTGGGCCATAAATAGTGACTTCAAAGGTAGCCTAGAGGGGCTGAGGATTTAGCTCAGTGGTTTAAGCACCTGCCTCGCAAGTGTGCGGTCATGAGTATCAATCCCTGATATCGATAAAGACAAAAAAAAAACTACAACAAATAATAACAAAACCGGCTTGTAAGGCACAATCTCAATTCCCACTACAACTCTTTGAAATGAGGACAGTTTTTCTTCCCTATTTTACTTTGTTGGGGTCATCTTCTGGCCCCAGGATTGAACTCAGGGGTGTGTGCATGCTAAGCACACGTTCCACCACGGAGGTGTGCATCCAGCCTTTCCTCACTTTACAGAAGAGGAAATGGAGGTGCCGAGAGGGAAACTGATTTGCCTAAGGTTACATAGCCAGTAAATGCTAGAAACGAATTTGAACCCAAAATGTTCAATTCCGAAGGCTATGTTCTGGCTTTTTCTTGAAGATACTCAACACACATAAATAGGAGACATGACTTAGTATCATAGGGACCCTAAGAGTCACCGTGGGAATTACCACCACCTGGGGCTAGGGATGGCAGATGTGTTTGTGGCTGGGGAAGGGCCCAAAACTGAGTGATGCTACCTCCTGAGGCAATGTCTTATATATACACATCCTTCTGCTTCATCCCAGACAGTGGGAGTGTCTCCCCCACATCCTGCCAGGGCCTCACAGGCTTCCCCTCTCTGGCAGGTTTGGGAGAGACAGGCTTGGAGTTCCCCCATCCTGCACAGAGGATGAGGTTCCTCATCTCATGAGGCTGACCCCAGCCTGTCTGAAGGCCCAGAGCTATTAATAGCAGCCTGCAAGGCTGTGTCATCCAGCTGGTGACTCAAGACTCTAGAGCCAGCTCCCTCTCCCCATCCTGATGGAACTTCACCTGCGCCAAGGGCTTAGAGTCCTGGGAGGGGGCCATGGTTATTGGGGGGCTTGCGGGGGGGGGTGCATCCTGATCTCTGCCTCCTCTCCTTGGACCTTGACTAAACTCTGCTGTGGCATTGGAAGGAGGGGCTGGGGAAGTGGGGAAGGGGATGTGGTTAAACACAACCACTTCCTGCCATTGCCCTGTTGAAAGTCAACCTTCCTCCAAGTTCCCCTTGATGGGGGTTGGGAAGCAAGGTGGTTAAAGAAGGAAGCTGGAGGGCGGGGAAAGGAGGGTTCTTACTCTAGGAATCAAGCCTTGGGGGTCCCGGCTGGATGGTGGCTGCGCATAGCCAGTGTTCAGAACAACCAGCTGTCCCAAGGCAGTCACCATCAGTAGCAGCAAGCAAGCACAAGAGGCAAAGGTTGTGTTGGTCACTACTACAGTCACACTTTTTAGCACAATGCCTGGCTCATAAAACTCAACAAGTATCTGTGGAGTAAATCATCTTTAAAGGTCTGAGGATGATTATCAATCTCTGATGAAAGTTTTAGAGCCTTTATACAGAAAATCGACACTACCAGTGGGTTTTTCCTTCCCACTCACCCAGGGGACATTTGGCAATGTTTGGCAACATTTCTGGCTGTCACAACTGGCAGGGGGAGGTGTTACTGGCATCTCGTGCTAAGAATGGTTGAAGATGCTGCTAGATACACTGCTAAGTGCGGGATGGTTCCTCAAAACAAAGGGTGATTCAGCTTCGAGCATCCAAAGTGTCAAGTTTGATTCTTTTTTTTTTTTTTTGATGTGGGGAATCAAACTCACAATCTCATGTGTGCCAGGTAGGTACTATGCCACTGAGTTATACCCTTGGCTCTCAAGTTTGAGAACTGTGACATGTGCATAGGTATGACATATTCTAGATAATTGGGGGCAAGGTGGTATAGTCCATGGATTCACCCAATCTGCCATGCAGATGAAGATCTCCAGAATTGCAGGATCTCTTATGGTGTTTCCATCTCTAAAATCATACTGTTCTTTGACCTGGTACTCCTAAATCTGAAGTAGAGTCCCACGGGGTTCCCTGTCTTTGGATATCATTCTCCAAAACCCTGAGCTTCCTCTCTTATATTTGGTGAGTAGTAAGGGATCAGAGGAAAAGGGTCCAGGAAACCCCCCAGCCTTCCCCTTTACCCTCTGCACACAGATCTTCCTCTCAGATGCCTGTAAATAATAATAAAGATAAAAAAAACCGGGCATCAGGAGGCTTGAATTCTAGTTCTATGCATTGACCCACTACGTGATGAGAGGCCAGTACCTTCACTGCTCTGAGACTCAGTTGCCTCTTCTGAAAAGGAAGAGTTACTCATCAAATCTACCTTATAGATGGCGAGGGTGAAACGAGAGGCTCACAAAAAGTTTGTCCCAGCCGAGGGTTGAGCTCAGTGGCGTAAGTGCTCGCCTGGCAAGCATGAGGTCATGAGCTCGATCCCTGGTACCAAAAAAAAATTTTTTTTTGTTACAGTGCTTGTATTGGTCAGTTAAGAAAAACAACTTCTAAAAGAGGAAAGATTTATTTTGGCTCCTGGTATCAGAGGATTCAGTCTGTGATTGGCTAGTACCAAGGCAGAAGCATCATCATGGTGGAAAGGCACAGTAGGGAAAAACTGCTCACCTCATCGCAGCCAGGACGCAGAGAAGGAGAAAGAGCCAGGGTGGCAGGGGCTGGGAACCAGACAGTCCTCAGGCTTACTGTCTTGTGACCCGTTTCCTTCAGCTAGACCCTCTTCCTGTTTTCATTGCCTCCCAATAATGCCATCAAATTATGATCTCATCAGTGGATTGATCCATTCAGTTTACAAAGTCTGTAGCAACCAGCAACCAAGACTCCCACTCAGTGAACTTTTTTTTTCTTTGCATACCGATCACAACAGTGTTCAACATAGCAAATCTCAAAAACTGCATCATTATTATGGTTCAGAAGTAGAGTGATGGGGGCCGGGGATTTAGCTCAGTGGCACAGTGCCTGTCTGTCAAATGTAAGGTCCTGAGTTCGATTCCTGATACAAAGCAACATAATAACAACAACAACAAAACTCTGTCGTAGGAGTGAAGTAACTTGCCTAAGTTCATGTATAATGATCAAGATACAGAGTGAATGTTTAAATTTTTAAATGCTTGGAATCAATTAAAAATATTTAGCTTTAATGGTCATTTTCACTTTGGGGAAGATCCAGAAGTCACATGGTAACAGATCACACAGTAAATAAGGTAGATGAGGACATACCTCCTTGACCGAAATTGACATAAATATTTTGAATCCATCAAGGCATCTATGACAGCTCAACTAACATACTTTTTTTGTTTTGTTTTATCGGTACTAGGGATCAAACTCACGACCACACACTTGCAAGGCAGGTGCTTATGCCACTGAGCTAAGTCCCCAGCCCTCAACTAATGATACTCTTGAAAGAGAGCTTCTAGAACTGCTTCAGGGAAAGGCAAGAATTACAGGATAAGCGTGTGTGGGGTGTATTTTGAGGGAGGTTAATGTCCGTGTGTCTTTTACTGTAAAGCATTTTAAAATTTGTAGCTAAACATTCACCGTTGAATGGGGGGATGGAGTGGTGCTGGCTCTGAAATTCAGGACTGAGTGACTGCAAAGCAGATGCTCATTAACCACGAAACTTTAGAGCATCGATTTTCCTGCAAGGGAAATACTTATCTCCATCTCATACTCATGTATTACGGAAGTGTGGAAAGTGTCCGGCACACAGTAGGCCCTTTAAATACAGGTTGAACTGTTATTACCATCTTCCCAAATAAGGCCTTGAGGAAGGCAAATATCAGTCCCGTCACTCACCGGCAAGCTGGCCGGAAGGGAGGGAGAGAAGGAGGCTGCTGGTCCCTGGCAGAAGTGGTAACAATTGGCATCGAAGCTCACACTGGGTGGAGCAGGGCTGGAGGAGGGGAAGGGCTAAAAAATGCAGAGCCCCCAAAGCAGGCATTTCCTCCAGGTCATACGGCAGCTTAGAGCCCCAGATCCCAGTCGGAGTCCAGGTGGCCATCCTCATCTCCGCCTCAGGAAGTAAAAGCAAATCACCACCATCTACTGGGGACTTGCAGCTTACCTGACATTGAGAGATTTGTGTGCCTGATCTCTCTTTATCTCCACATTAATTTAGGGGGGAAAGGCCTGTTTATTACTGCTGAGAAACAAACCCAGAGCAATGAGGACAGTTGGCTGAGCATGGAGCTGCCTCTGCTGGTTTGCAGATGCTACAGGCGCTTTCCTTCACTGCACCAAGTCAGGGGTCTGCTCTGGTGGAGCTCCCCACTTCCTGCCTTGGAGAGCGCACTCCTGCCACCCGAGGGGGAATGGGAAGGAAGCTGAGTCAAGAAGGCTGCCAAGGAGGAGAGCAAGGATGAGCCTGGATGGTGGACAGAGGTGAGGGTGGGCTCTGGCCAGGGACAGGGTGTCACAGAAGGACAAGGGTGGGCCTGGGGATCTCAGGGAGTTTCTGGAAAGAGGCCTCAGGGGGTTTTCCAGCCTTTCCTTGGCTGACTACTTGGGGCCTGCAGATTGAGGACTGAAGGCATCTTCTAGGCTCTTTCTCTTCCCTTCCTCCCTCTTCTACAAGCTCTGCAGTTTGCAAAACCAGCCCCTCCTCTGGGCACCTGTGGTTTCCTGTGGGTCTGGGGTCCTGCCTGACTAGGCAGCGGTCACTATGAGCAGTGGGGAGAGGAGGAGATGGTGTAAGCTGTTTCTTTGCCTTTTAATGCTGAGGCTGTCCAACACCACACACACACACACACACACACACACACACACACACACACACACACCCATACCCTGAGTCAGCACCGACAGGAGGGGGCGGGGTCACTGATTCAGTACTGGTGTCTTCTTAAAGCCCCTGCAAGGGCCACTGCAGCCAGTCACTGCTACCCTCACCATGAGTCCCTGGCAGCCTTTGGTCCTGGTGCTCCTGGTGCTGGGCAGGTGTTCCACTGCCCCTCAAAGGCGCCAGCCTACCCGTGTGGTCTTCCCCAGAGATTTGAGAAGCTCCACTCTCACTGATACCCAGCTGGCAGAGGTAGGCAAAGGCCGCAGTCAAGAGCTGAGGAGGGCTGGCCAAAAGGCTGTCCATATGCCAGGGAGTGCATGGGACCTCAGAGATGCATTAGGGATGCGTGGAGTGGTGGGCATGTCTGGGGAGCAGGGGTGTCCAGGGTAAGGCACTGGGCAGTGAGAACCAGGATGGGCAATGTGGGCTTCCTAGGTGGGCAATGGGAAGTAGTGAGGAGGAGGGCACCTGAAGGTTCTGGGTGGGCACAGGTTGGGAATGGGAATGGGTAAACTCCAGAGGGGCCTCTAGTAGGCTTGCACTGGAGGCATCAGGGATGAGAAGGGGCTGAGGGTGTCTGCAGGGTGCTCTGGGGTTCACATCTTATTGGCCATCTCTGAGTGCCTAGAGAGAGAGTCCTGATCTAGAAGGCCAGAGAAAGGGGATCGGGGCTCTGCGACCTACTCCGCGCTCCATCCACAGGAATACCTGTTCCGCTACGGCTACACTCCTGTGGCTGAGATGCACGGGAATAATAAGTCGCTGGCGCCTGCGCTGCTGCGCCTTCAGAAGCGGCTGTCTCTGCCTGAGACCGGAGAGCTGGACAGCGCCACGCTGCAGGCCATCCGTACCCCGCGCTGCGGTGTCCCAGACGTGGGCAAATTCCAAACCTTCGAGGGCGACCTCCAGTGGCACCATCGCAACATCACATACTGGTGAGCGGCTGTGCTGAGGGGCAACGGGCCGGCACGGGGCTCGAAGGGCTGGCCCTGCCGGTGTTGGACGAATGAAATATCCGCAGATGGTCGGGGGTTTCACTACTTAATATATGGCTCCGCCTCCGGGCCTCAGTTTCCCCTTTGGGGAAGTGGTTGTAATCCAAGTCCTCCTATCAGGGCTGAGAACGCATATGGGGCGTAGGGGTGCACCTTATGGACGAAAGCAGGGATGGCCAAGGAGCGTTGTGTCCGCTGCCGCCCCGCCCGTTTGTCACTCTGACCTCAGTCCCCTGCCTTTTCCCCTGCAGGATCCAAAACTACTCGGAAGACCTGCCGCGCGACGTGATCGACGACGCCTTCGCGCGCGCCTTCGCGGTGTGGAGCGAGGTGACGCCGCTGACCTTCACTCGCGTGTACGGCCGCGAAGCAGACATCGTCATCCAGTTTGGTGTCGCGGGTAAGAACCGGGAAGCCGGGAGGAGGGATGCGAGGGAGGAGCGTGGAGAGCGGGGAGGGGGCAGCTGACCAGCTCTCTCCCGCCTGCACCGCAGCTGGGGCGCGAGGCTTGGAGAGCCGCGCGGGGGCCTCCAGCCAGCAGGGGACTCCACGCCCCTGGACAGCAGCAGCAGCACCCAGCTGAGCCCCTTCCTCTCCATCCTTTTACAGAGCATGGAGACGGGTATCCCTTCGACGGGAAGGACGGGCTGCTGGCCCACGCCTTTCCCCCTGGTCCCGGTATTCAAGGAGATGCCCACTTCGACGATGAAGAGCTGTGGTCTTTGGGCAAGGGCGTCGGTGAGATCTTAGGCCACCCCAGAGCTGCTCTCCTCCTCTCCACGTCCCCTGTCCTCTTGAATCCGTCAGCAGCCACCCCAACTCGAGTCCCCTCTTCCCACAGTGGTCCCCACCTACTATGGAAACGCGAACGGCGCGCCCTGTCACTTCCCCTTCACCTTCAACGGCCGCTCCTACTCCGCCTGCACCACCGACGGTCGCACGGACGGCAAGCCTTGGTGCAGCACCACGGCCCACTACGACACGGACCGCAAGTTCGGGTTCTGCCCCAGCGAGAGTGAGTATGGGCTTGGGGCGAGAAGCGGGTAGGGGGCCGCCGCCTGCGGGGGGGGGTGTGTGTGGCTTTGCTTCTGAACCCCGCTGCCACTCGTGCTTGCCGTGTGGCCTGCAAGTCACTCCCCCGCGCTCTGGGCCTCCTTTATCCGCGAGAGGATGGGCTGCGGCCGGTCCGTGGGTGAACAGCGAGTGGCTCTTGCGAGTAACGGTGTGGCCTCCCCAGGACTCTACACCCAGCACGGCAACGGGGATGGCAAGCCCTGCGCGTTTCCCTTCATCTTCGAGGGCCGCTCCTACTCTGCCTGCACCACCGACGGTCGCTCGGACGGCTTCCGCTGGTGCGCCACCACCGCCAACTACGATCAGGACAAGCTCTTCGGCTTCTGTCCCACTCGAGGTACCGCCGCCCCGCCTGCGAGTGTCAGCCCCGCCATGCTGCCTCACACTGGTCCCCGAAACCAGACTGTCCCACACTCATCATTTCGTCTCCCCATCTTCATACGCCCCCCATGGTCACATCCTGCTTCCCAGCGCTGCGCCTGCACCTCCGAGGCTTTCTGGCTTCAGGCTCTGCTTGCAAGTCTCCGGGTCTCAATGGCCCCACAGCGCCCCCTAGGCCTTAAAAAGGAGCTGCCAGGACTCTACCCTCCCCCCCCCCTCACTTTATGGGACCCATACACCCGGCTCACCCAACGCCCTGGGTTTCCCCAGCTGACTCCACGGTGATCGGCGGCAATTCGGCCGGGGAGCTGTGTGTCTTCCCCTTTGTCTTCCTGGGCAAGGAGTACTCGTCCTGTACCACCGAGGGTCGCCAGGACGGGCGCCTCTGGTGCGCCACCACCTCCAACTTCGACGCAGACAAGAAGTGGGGCTTCTGCCCAGACCAAGGTGGGTGGGGTTCCGAGGCTGGTGGGCTGTGGCTGTGGTCCCCACAGTGAGGGTGATGGAGTGGCCAGGGCGGGGGCTTGGCCTGGTGCTCCCGTCTCAGGCTCTCCTTCGTTCCCAGGATACAGCCTGTTCCTTGTGGCAGCACACGAGTTTGGCCACGCACTGGGCTTAGATCACTCCTCTGTGCCAGAGGCGCTCATGTACCCCATGTACCGTTTCCTCGAGGGCTCCCCACTGCACGAGGATGATGTGAAGGGCATCCAACATCTCTATGGTGAGGTCATGGGATAGGGACGGGGTGTAGCTTAGCCACAGGAACAGAGAATGGGCTGGGACCTCAACATCCCTCTGGACAGGACCTGGTTGCAGTTGCTACCTGTTAGTGCTTGGAGATGATGCTAAAGAATCTAGACTCTGAGTAGGATGGGCAAATTCAAACCCAGCCTGGGCAATTTAACAACTTGGTGAGACCTTGTCTCCAAAAAACAAAACAAAACAAAACAAAACAAAACAAAACAAAACAAAACAAAACACAAAAACGAAAACCAAACAACACTGGGGACATAGCTCAGTGCAAAGCCCTTGGGTTCAATCCCTGGTGCAGGGTGTTAGGGAAGATATTGAGGTGTGTAGCTTAGCAGTAGCCTGGTGTGTGCTGTGGGAAGGACCTGGATTTCATCTCTAGCAGAGAGAGACAGAAAGAGTAAGGGAGAGAGTATGTTTTTCTGAAGATCAAACCAGCCAATTATAATGAGAGTTTATAATGCTCTCGGCACTAAGTTTGTCATGGTGACATTCAAAAGACTCCCACTGGCTGGAAAGGGGGCAGGTGCTGCCTGTTTTTTATCCACAGAGCTCGACCCAGGGCTGAACAGCCCAGGGATGGACGAATGTGGCTTGAATAAATGCCAAATGTGGGGGAAGCTGCCAGCTCAGGTTTGGGGGATGATTTCAGTGTCTAAGTGGGGACAGTGTGCACCGATACAAGGTTCGCTGGTAATCTAGGGGAACAGAGAGGTGCACCCTAGAAGTGCTTATCCAGGATCTCCTTCTAGGTCCTGGCCCTGGACCGAAACCAAGACCTCCAACTACCACCACCACCACCACGCATGAACCGCAGCCCACCGCTCCCTCGACTGTCTGCCCCACCTTCCCCCCTGATGTTCGCCCCACAGCCGGCCCCACAGGCCCTCCTGCGCCTGGCCCCACAGCCCCCACCTCAGCTGGCCCTACAGGTCCCCCCACAGCAGGGCCCCCTCCAGCCCCTACAAAGTCTTTGAAGCCGGTCAATCCCTGCAGTGTGCACATGTTCGACGCCATTGCGGAGATCCAGAACTATCTGCATTTCTTCAAGGACGGGTGAGCGGCCAGGATATGCGGGGATGGGGGAAGGGGCTGGAGGAGGCCCGGCCTGTCCCTCCCTCCCCGCCCACTGGCCCTCGGCTCAAGGGTCAGCGCCCTGCCTTTGTTCGATTCCCAGGTGGTACTGGAAGTTTTCTGAGGGCCGAAGGCGACGGCTGCAGGGCCCGTTCCGTATCTCTGACACGTGGCCCGCGCTGCCCACCAGACTGGACTCTGCCTTTGAGGATCCCCTTTCCAAGAAGATTTTCTTCTTCTCGGGTTAGTTTCCTCCTCTCTGCCTTCACGGCCGCTCAGCCTTCACCAGTCGACTTCCTTGGTTGGAGGATCCAACCAAGATAACCCGAGAATGAGACCACTACCAGAGAAGCGCGCCCCCTTCTGGCAGACGCAATTTAACACGTTTACGGGGCTGAATTTCTGTCCTGGTGTGCGCGGCGCCTTTGCACAATCGTACCCAGTGGCCCTGCCCCTTGATCACAGAGACTGGGGCACGCTGGACCAAGAAAAGGCTCTGCAGCTCCCCCAGGTCGTCATGACCTTGACCCCTTTTCCCCTGCAGGGCGCCAAGTGTGGGTGTACACAGGCACGTCGTTGCTGGGTCCAAGGCGTCTGGACAAACTGGGCCTGGGCCCAGAGGTGTCCCAGGTCACCGGGCTGCTGTCCCGCAGCGCAGGAAAGGCGCTGCTCTTCAGCACCGAGCGCTTCTGGAGGTGAGAGCCACGGTGGCCGCCGCCAGGGGGAGCCCGGGGGCCGCCCGTCCGCCGCCGGCTCAGCACCTGTCTGCTCGCCGCTTCCTGCAGGTTTGACGTGAAGACGCAGACGGTGGATCCCCAGAGCGTCACGCCGGTGGACCATGTGTTCTCCGGGGTGCCCTTGAACATGCACGATGTCTTCCAGTACCGAGGTGAGGGCTGCAGATACGGGCGGGGGAGGGTCTCTGTGCGATACCTCCCACGCCAGGCTGCCTTGCCTCCGTGATTGGCCAAATTCCATGCAAACAAGAAAAAGCCCTTGGAGACGAAGCAAAAGTCCCAGCACGGACAGAAACAGAGACCTTCCTCACCAATAGGGACTCAGGGCCACAACCAGGGCTGGGACCCAGATTTCTTGCCTCCCCAGCTAGAGGCTGCCTCAGGGCATGTGGTTTGCAAGGAAGCTCACCTTTTATTAGACAGTCTTTGTCAAGTTTTTATACTGTGCCCAAGCACTGTGCTGCCCCTGGGAATACAAGTGAGGGCTACAACACTGCAAAGCTGTGTTTCCTGACGCAAGTCCTGCTACACTCACAGCCTCAGTTTCCCCAACTGTAAACTGGAGAGGACAGCTATGTTTGCTTTCTCTTTTTCACTGCTTATATCCCATTAGTAGACAAGGTCTTTGACTCTCTACCACCAAAGTCTATAATTTTTCACTACCTCTCTTGCAGACACCTCGGTCCACTCTGTAGTGATTATCTAATACATTTGTTTGTTTGCTTACGGTATTGGGAATTGAACCCAGGGCCATCACACTGACCTCCATTCCCAGTCCATTTGTTTTGTTTGGTTGGTTGCTTTTTGGAGACAGGTCTCAATAAACTGGTAAGCCTGGGCTTAAACTTGCATTCCTCTGTTGCCCAGAGTTCTGGGATTACAGATGTGTACCACCAAGGTCAACTGTATTCTTTATTTTTATTTTTTTGTGTGTGTGGTACTGGGGACTGAACCCAGAGTCTTTGCACAGAGCTGCATCCTCTGCCCTTTCATGATATTTTTTTGAGATATGATCTTGCTAAGTCACTAAGTAGCCCAGGCTGGGTTTGAAATTGTGATCCTGCCTCAGCTTCCCAGAATGCTAGCGTTACAGGTGTGTGCCGCTATAACCAGCTCCAACACATTTAAATATTCCCTGAGAGTAAGGAGAGAGTAGAAGCAGGAACACAGAGTTGTGCTCCTGGGGAGTGACTCCAAATCCATTCCAAGGCCAAAGAAACTAACAATTTGGCCCCCCCACTCCACCCTTTTTTTATCGGTATGGGAGTTCAAACTCACGACTGCCTGCTTGCAAAGCAGGTGCTTATATCGCTGAGCTAAATCCCCAGGTGCCCCCCCCCTTTTTTTTGTCCTTTTGAGGCAGGGTTTCCCTATGCAGTTCAGGCTGGCCTTGAACTCACTATGTAGCCTAGATTGGCCTTGAATTTGCAGCGATCCTCCTGCCTCAGTCTCTCCAGTGCTGGGATTACAGGCCTGTGCCACCAGACACGGTCCCCTTCCTGCTTTACCACCTCGCTGTTCTCATCTGCCCAGCTGCTCCTGTCATTCACTGGGCTCCACCTACATTGCCTGCTGTTTGGGTAGATCAAGGTCATCCATAGCTTGGGGCCTTTGTGCCAGTTGTTCCCGCTCTCTGGAAGGCTTTTCCCTTAAACTGTCACCAGGCTGCCTCTCTCTCATCCTTCAAAGGCCACCAAACCAGAAAGGTCTTTGCTGACCATCATCTTCTATTCACTTGTTTATATTTCCTCCACCTCTGTACACATGGTCAGAATCAATCTCATTTATGTTCATGTTTGCTTGGCTAATTGTCTCTCTTGCCTCACTAGAGTTTTAGCAACAAAAGAATTGAGGTCATGCCTGCATTTTTCTCTGCTGTATTTCTAGTGCCTCTAATGTGTTTGACACACAGTAGGCACTCAGAAAATTTTTTTTGTGTGGTTTTCTGGAGATCAAACCCAGGGCCTTGTGCATATAGGGTAAAACACGCTATCTCTTAGCTACACTTCTAGACACAGTAAAATTTTTTTGAATGAATGCACAGATTTGCTCAATGAATGGATATTCAATGAATTATTCTGAGCATTAAGATGGGCCATTCATTCATTTATTTGCTGATTCATTCATAAAATGTATGCATAGCACCTACTGTGTGCCAGGTTCTGTGCCCTCTTGCATCTCCCAGGCAGATGATGGAGATGGAGGGTCATGTGAAAAACCTTGGAAAGATCCAGAAAAGCCAGGAGAGATGACTGCAAAAAGTTTTGCTCCTGTCTCTGAAGATGTATGTGGGAGGGCAGAAATCACCCCTCTCACGCCTTCTTGTCCCCCGCAGGGAAAGTCTACTTCTGCCAGGACCGCTTCTACTGGCGAGTGAGTTTCTGGAATGAAGTGAACCAGGTGGACGAAGTGGGCTACGTGACCTATGACATCCTGCGGTGCCCTAATTAGGGCTTCCATCCTGCTTCCACAGAGCAGGGCAGGTTCCCCAGGGGACCATTCTAGCCGAGAAGGAGCCAGTTTGCTGGATACAAACCTGTCTCTTCTGGAGGGTAAGGAGGATGGAGAAGGACTGGGTCCTCTCTTCACATCTTCCTCTTTTGTCAGAATATTTCTAATAAATGTGAATTCTCTAACTTTTAAGTAGCTTTTATTGAGGTATACGTATTCATACGAATGTATGTAACTGGCGGAGTACTTTTATATGTCAGGCAATGTTTTGGGTTCTTTGTAAATATTAGCGTATTCTGTCCCTAGGAAGGTATTGCGTGACTATTTCTATTTTACAGGTGAAGAAATGACCAACCTATTTATTCATCCATCAACCATTTATAGAGCCTCTCTATAGAACCAGGCTGTGTGCTGGGCACTGGGGAGAGCAGTGAATTGCATCTCTCAAAAGACCCCCACATCTATAATGCCATCTTTGCCCTCTCTCTGAACTCCAGATTTATATGCTCATCTGCCAACTACACATGACTCCTTCAGTCATTAATAAGCATCTCACCCTAACACGTTCAAACCCACTTTTGGGTAACACTTTCCAAACCTGTATCGTATATCTTCAGTCAAGTCTAAACATCCAGGAACTAATTATTTAAACTTGTTATTCTAGTATAGGATTTTTCATCTTCAGCATTACTGACATTTGAGGCTGGATAATTCTTTGTTGTATAGTAGGATGTTTCATGTCTTTCTCTATGAAGCAGCAGAAACCAAGCCCAGGTGCCAGGCTCATTCAGGGTGCTGCCACAAGTCTCACCGTAGGGGTACGGCGCAGTGAAGTGATGGTGAACTTGTGACTCATGGCAGGGCATCGTGGGTTCAAGCAAGATGCTACTAGTGACCCTGAGGTGTGAGAAGTGTGCCTCTCCAGTTGTGACAGTTGGAAACCTTTCTGAACATTGCCAAATGTCCCCTGATGGACAGCATCCCACGAGTAGAGAAACATTATCTTAATATAATAAGCACACGGACAGTGCACCTACTGCAAGGGTACACTGTAATATATATTTCACAAACAGTGCAACCAGCACCTAGACCAGCAGCAAAACATTATCAACACCTTAGAAAACCCTTTAATCCTCCTCGCAATTACTGCTCCTTCCCATGAGCCATTACTATCATTACTTCTGAAATTCACATAGACTTTGGCTATTTTTAAAGTTATTTACAAGTATTGTAAGGAATATACCCTTTCGTGTCATTTTTTTGTGCAATGTTATATTTGTGAGATTCATCCATGTTGTTCTGTAAATTATGGATTGTTTATTCTCAGTGCCACAGTGTTCCCTTGTGTGAATGTACTACAATTTATGTAGTTTATTATTGATATTGGGTGGTCTCCAATTTGGACTCCTATGAATAATGTCACTATGAAAAAAATATATTTTTGATACAAGGTCTTGCTATGCAGTTCAGCATGAACTTGAGCTCACCACGTAGCCCAGGTTGGCTTTGAACTCATGATCCTCCTGCCTCAACTTTTCAGGTGCTGGGATTTTGGTGTATGCCACACCTGTGAAAGTGTGTGTGTGTGTGTGTGTGTGTGTGTGTGTGTCACAGAGGATGGAACCCAGGGCCTGGAACATGCTAGGTAAGTGCTCTACCATGGAGCCACACCCCCAGCCACTATGAAGTCTCTAATAAATGTCTTTTAGTGCACACAGGCAGCCACTGCTTTGGTGGGTATGTCTAGGAGTAAAATTGCTGTACCAAAACATGCATGTGTACACCCAGCTTTAGTGGATGTGACCTGGCGTAGTTTTGCCTGTCTATACACCCACTAGGACTCCTCCTACCCTCCTCCTTCCATCAGATGCCATATCCAGTGCAGCAGCAGGTCCTGCTGGGTCCAGCTCCATAACTTGTCTGGAATCACATGACTGCCACCACTCTGGTGGTCATCACCCCTCCCACCTGGGGGTTTGCAGGGGGCTCCTAATCCGATTTCCAGGTTCCAGGCCTGCTCTTTAGCTGAGTTTTCACCTAAGAGCAGCAGCCAGTCTGGTTGATCTGGTTAAAATACAAAGCAGATCACATCATTCCCTTGTTCAAAAACTTCCAAAGGTTTTCCTTGTGGATTAAAAAAAGCCAGGTGAAAAGAATCCCCAGAGATTTCAAAAGAACATTTGATCCATCTCCTGCTGTCCCCCCTTACCTGCTTTCACTCTGGTCCCCAGGCACTCGCACTGTTTCCCAGACGCAGTGGCCATCTTGTGGGTTCTTGAATAGTCCAGGTTCCCTCTCACTCCCAGGCCTTCGCATCTGCTCTTTCTTCTAACAGAGAATTCCCCTCCCCAGGTCCTTGGATAGCTGGCTCTTCTCATCAGTGGGTCTGAACTATAATATCATAAGAGGGTAAGAAACTAGTCTATCCCGTTCACCAGTTGGGTCCCATGGCCTAAAACACGTGAGAGCCACTAGGTGTTAAGGTTTAGGGGGCCCCAGCAAAGGTGGGCGCGGTCTGCAGGAGCTACACACTAGGCCCGTGTGAAGGATGACTCTAAGCTGGGTGAGCTTTTCGGGAGCTTGGGGGGAAAGTGGGAGCCCAGGGTCTGGGAGCAACGTGGACACGTCCAGGGTGGCAGGGCACAGCGGGCACTAGGACCCTGCGCGGTGCTGCGCGGCGGGCGGGGGTGAGGGGATCCGCTGTTCCTCCCGCCCGGAGCCCGGCAGCGGCCACTTGTGCGATCCGGGCCGCCGGGCCCTCTCCGCGCCATGAGCCGCAGGTTCACCGTCACCTCGCTGACCCCGGCGGCGCCCGCAGCAACCCCTGACCCCGAGTCCCGCCGGCATTCTGTCGCGGACCCCCGCTACCTCCCGGGGGAGGACGGCAAAGGTAGAGGCCGCAGGGGGCGGGGCCGAGAGGGCGGGGCCAGGCCCTGCGGGGGGGCGGGGCGGGGCCTTGCGAGGGTGCGGGGTCCCCAGGGAGGGCGGGGTGTGGGGGACCCTGCACTGCGAGCGTGAAGGGGCGGGGCCAGACTCGAGGTGGGCGGGTCACAGGGAGGAAGGCGGGGCCAGAGGCCCAGGGCGCTGACCCCGGGATGGGGCGAGGGGAAGCCGGGAGCAGCCGGGGGACCAGCGGGGCGGAGGACCGAGGGGAGAGGAGGCTGTGTGGTTAAGGGGTGGACCAGAGCCGAGGGGAAGGGGCGGGACTACGTCGATTTGGGGGCTAGGAAAGAGAAGGAACGGCGGGTTGGGCCAGGAAGATGGGATCGGGTCAGAGTCGGGGTGAGGGGGTGTGGGGGGCGGCAGGGAGCCTAAGTCAGAGTCGCTGAGTCCGGTGCTGCGTCAGCGGGTCCTTAGTGTCTGGTCGATCCTCCAATCCTCAGCCTCCCTGCAGGCGCTGAGGTCTCCTGGGGACCCCTAGAAGGAGGCTGGAAACGGGAAAGTTAGTTTGATCCTGGGCAGCTAGATCCAGGGACGATCCCAAGAGGAATTCAGTCCGACTCTCGGGGCCCACTTTGCTCCCTCTCTGATTCTGTTCTCGCTCCTGAAGGGGTGAGAGGAGCCAGCTCCGGGAGGATTAGGGGGGGTCTTTCTTGCTGTGCTCTTGTAATTGAAGTTATCTGCAGGGGCAAGTTGCTCTGGCCTTCAGAAAAGTATTGGCGTCCTGATTGTGTGCGGGATCTCCCCGCAGGGGGCACTTGTCTCCCTAGCTTTGTGCCCCTCAGGTCTGGAAGGAGCGAGGTGGCAGTTTGGAGCGGCCTCAGCGAGGGGAGGAGAAGTAGCCCCCCGGGACGCCAGGGGTCGCTGCTGAGCCGCAGGTGAGCTCGCCTTTACCAGAGCAAACCTGAATGCCAAAAACCCTAGAGTGGTTCTTAGGGGTATTTTTGACGAATCTTCTCATGGTACAGATCAACAAATCAAATCTGGGCCTGGACTTCCTCCAGGACCCAGCCCCATGACCTCCTGGGTGTGGCCTTTCGGATTTTTCCACTTTCTTTCACTCTCCATCTTTCCCGTAATTTGTCTGCCCTTTTTGTCATTTTCACCAACGGTGTTAACCAAACTTCCAGATTTAAACATCAGAAATCTGGACCCATTCTCAACACTTGCTTTCTTCCCCCTCTTTGTCACCAGATACAATTGGCCTTGTCTTGGACTCTGTTCTCCAAAACTGGGTTTGAGTCCTGTTACATCTGTTCCCATCCATCACTATCATTTTGGTCCAAACCCAAGATTTGTCTTACCCAGCCACGACCACATCGTCCTCCTTGGTCTCCGTCTTCCCAGTCTTGCTCTAAGCATCTCACTCACAACTTTGCAGATAAAGACCATCACTGCAGATAAAGGCCAAACCTTTTAGCTCACCATTTGAACCCTTGCTTAACTGCTCCTGGTCTCTGCCTATCCATGTTCATTCCTTACTGCTGTAAATCAAGAAAATACCTCCTCATGCTGTAAGTTATAGCTCATCTCACCTCTTCTGAAAATCCCTTTCCCGGGCCAGGGGTTTAGCTCAGCAGCATAAGGGCCTGCCTGGCAAGCACTAGGTCATGAGTTCGATCTTCAGCAACAAAAGCAAAACAAACAAAAAATCCAAAAAATGAAAATCCCTTTTTCTTTCTCTCTTTGGCCCACCCATCGAAGCACAGGTCCTGATGGGTAGCAGTTATTTACTTGTATGTCTTCTCCTTTGGAGCATCTCAAATGTAGGAACCATGTCCTTTTATCTTGGTGCCTGATTCCAGGCCCAAAGCATGACATCTAGTGAGTTCTTAATGGTCATCAGGTAAAAAAGTATGTGGCTCTGTGTTCCCGCTTCTCCTTCCCTGCCTTCTCTCCTCCAACTTCTTAAACCCTGGCCTGGTTCTAAGATGGCCTCCTCCATGTCCCAGTAACACTCAGTCTCCCCATCCACACTGCCATTCTTTTTCATAGTCAGAGTAACATATGGCCCCCAGATTTTGGGCGTGCAGGTGTGCATACATAATGAATGTGAGTCTAGAATGCTGTGTGCTGGTGGCAGAGGATGTGTGTGTATGATTCTTGAGGAGAGAGCATCCCACACTAACTCTGCTGACCTGTGGGGTGCTCAGTGAGTCAGAACTTACGTGTGTCACCGTACCGCCTTTGTGTCGGTGGACATGCTGGTGCGTACATTTCTGTGTTTATCTGTGGAGTGGGCACCCATGGGCATGCATGCATTTAAATCCCATCTTAAGAAGGAGTTGGGTGGCTTTTAACCTCTTAAGGCCTGAGATAGTCTTAAGCATCTCCTCCTTGGAGATCATTGCTTGGTGAACTAGACAAAATCTCTCGGGGATAACTCGGTGTCTGCTGGTGTCTTTTCCATAGCTGTTCTCCTGTCAGCATTTTGGCCCCCAAAAGGTGTTCTCCCCACCTCTTTTCTTGGGGTCCGAAGGGAAGCAGGGGACCTATGTAAGACGGGGAAGGGTTAGGGGAGATTTTCAGGGCACACATGTGGGAGCATGATCTTTTACTCTGGATCAAGGGAATGCTGTTTTCCCTTGGGGTGTTTCCTGCTGCCAGGAGATCAGACATCCCTGGGAACACAATCTACAGGGGGCAAAAGAAACAAGCCAGAAATGGAGCCTCAACTCTGCCATCAGCCCTTGCCTACAGCCCACCCCTGTACCATGGGAAGGTTGCTGGTGACCTGGTTGGATAGAACTGGACTTAGCACTGGTTGTTACAACTCTGAGCTATTCCGCATTTTTACCCACCTTCACTGTTCCCCAGGACACTGGACAGAGCTCTGGGCCTGGTAAGGAGTTGGGATGTGTCCCCATAGTGGGACAGGGAGCTAACTTATGTTCGGGGATGAAGCCAGGCTGTGATATAGTCCATCCATGCTCTAGCTCAGGTGCTATAGTGTGGCTTTGGGCTCACTGCTTCCCCTTTCTAGGGTCAGTTTACTCACACTTAACATTGATGAGTTGACAGGAAGCTATGTGAGGGTCCTTTCAGCCATAAAAATGCGGGCTTTTTTTAAGACATAGAAGGGCAGAGCTATCTGCCTCACCCAGACCAAATCTCATATTTCTGTCTCTCCACCTATAAATTGGGAAGAATGCTGCTGCTATTGGTATATATCTATCTTATCTGGAGATCTCTTCCAAGGAGTTTTCTAGTTGTTCCATTCTCCAGCCAGGACTCAGAACCTCACTGCCCAGTACCTCAGCCCAAGGTGAGCCCTAGGAATCTCCATGGCAACAAACTGGTTATGAACGGGGCTGCAGTTGCCATGGTGACAGGCCTCCCTCTGTCTCTCTCTCATCCCCCTCCTCTCCTTTCCTCTCTTCTCAATGAACCAGGGCGATCTGCTGGCCTCAGCTCTCCAGGTGGGGTGGGGGTGGGGGTGGGTGCAGTGAGAAGGGAGTCTGGATTGGGAAAGAGGGATGATGGGCTGAATCTGCAGGGAAATGGGGGGCTGTTGGGGTGCTGTTGCCATGGTGACAGGACTGCAGCTTGTTAATTAAGCCCCCGGTTGCCACGGAGACAGTGGTGGTTGACGTGCTCTGCGGCGAGCCCTGTATGTGTGGGGTGTGCTATATGCTGGACTTAATCAATCCATGGCGAGGGTTTTGGGTCCGGACAGTGGGATGTGGGGGAAGAGGAGAAGGGTGAGGACAAGGACTCAGGGCCTTGGCCTTGTGAGGCCATAGCTGAGGCTAGATGGGTAGGTTGTAGGGTAGGCCGCAGAGGTAAGGATGGAAAAGGGCTGATCCATAACAGCAAGCAGTGTACCTGCTACCTGGGGAAGGAGATTCCATCAGGTGGACCCAGTGTCCTTCAGAAAGCCCCCTAACCTGGTTCAGGGGAGGCCTGGGATAGGAATTAAGGAGCTGGGTTCTAGTCCACAGTGTCACAAATTCACCCCATGAAGAAAATTCTTTCTATTTCCATTTCTAGACTCTAATTTCATCATACATGATTAGTGGGAAAGAATTTATAAAGTCTCTTTCAGTTCTTAAATCCTGATACCCTGGAGGCAGCTCCTCTGAACTTTTTTCTTAGAAATACAAGGTGGGAGGGGGTAAGAGTTTAAGAAACTCAGAGTTCAAACATACGGCCCTGTCCAGCTCTGCATCTTGTGTTGATTTTTGATCCTCTAGCCTTGATCTTCCTAGGGCTCTGGCTGGGGATGGGGTGCTGAGCAGGTATCTGGGTCCTTGGAACTCAGAGCTGAAGGCCATCTCTTACAGACCAATGGCAGTGTAGGAGGTGCTTGCAGTGGGCTTTGTTCTTTGACAGAAGGTTGGCCCGAGGCCAGAGTAGGGCCCACCCTCCTTCAGGTGAGAAATAACTGAAAGGGCTGAGATCTCCTTTTTGAATTGTCTCCTAACTTAGTCTGGGCTTCTCAGGAAGTGCTCTATGGCTTTAATATAAGGATAATAGGGACCGGAAGAAATAGGGCTACGCAGCCTAATGCTTTCATTTGATAAACAGTATACTGAGGCCCAGAGACAGGAACTTGGATTTGCCCAGAAATACACAGAATTCTGCTAGAGGATAGAACCACTGGCACAGGTGACTCTTGAGGTCAGAACTCTGATAAATATGGACTGATAGAAAGGAACCATTCCTGCTCCACCCATATCCCTATGGGTATAAGTTTCCCCATGGTTGAGCTCATTCCCTGAGTGGTCAGAGTTACAGTAGCTCTGGTACCTACACTTTGGATTGCTGATAAACTTTAGATGGGGAAAAACACTCTCAGACAGACTGGCATATTTTACTATGTGTGTACAGAGCAGTAGAAAACTACAGTACTGCTGCTGGTGGTGATGACGGCAGTGTATATGTGTAGTGGGATGGGGAGAAAGTCTTGAAAAGTGACCTTCTTACCAGCTATCACTTTAAACCTTTTCCCCAATCAGAATACTATTTTTTTATTTTTTATTTTTTTATGGTTTTCTCTCTGGAAGTCAAGAATACTAATGCTCATGCCCTTGTTTGAATAGCTAACTCTTTATCCCCAAGGGTCAGCTGGGACTCCTCATCACCGAATGACTGATACTTTTGTGGATTTCTCAAAAATACCTTTGAGTCAGCTGACAGTCTCCATGGTTGATCCATGGAGTACCACAAAAGTGTACAAGGGAATCGGAGTGGTGGGTCCTGTCCACGGTTCTGAAACCCATGTTTTAAAGCGGAGTTTCCAAGCATATGGCTGGCTCTTTAGAACTCTGGAAGGTCTTATGGGTTTCCCTTCAGATCCAAGCCAACTGACTGGTCAGTTCAGCCTCGCACCCCGAAAACAAGAGCATAAAAAGGAGAAAGCCCATTTCAGACCCAATTGCTTTTCTTTCTTTCCTCCTTTGTCTTTTCTTTCTTTCTTTCTTTGAGCCAAGAATATGACTGTATCTTTGCTTCATCTGCTGGAGGCAAAGCTAGTTTAAAACCTCTTTTTAGGGGAGCCCTACGTTGGAGTAAAGAGAACACTTCTGAATTGGATTCTGCGGTTCACTGGCATCGAGTCCATATGCACTCATTTTCCTCTGGTCCTTAGTTTTTCATCTGGAAAATAAAGGCTCAAATTAGACAAAATAACAGACCTCTTTCCAGTCCTGTGACTCCCCTGGAATTTAGAGCACTGGCATTAGGAGCCAGGATGAGTCTGAGGACATTTTCCTAATGTACTCCTACCCTCCAATCTTTAGCTCTTCCAGAGATTCAAAAAGCCCAAGCCTCTGATGCCACTGCCTAAAATGTCCCCCACTCTGGAGCCAGCCTGGATTCTAGGGGTGCTGAGGTGTCCCAGTATCATCAAGCTTCTGGGGGAACCAATGTCAGGAGAGGTGGGGGAGGGACACAGAGAGCATGTCAGTTCTGGAAGCCTCAGAAAGCAATCCTGGATTAGGGGATTAGACACTCCCGCCCCGGGAGAAAATCTGCTTCCCAACCGATGAGCGGCCTCATTTCCCCTCCCCCACCCTGTCCCTGACCACCCTCCGGCCAGGCCAGCTCGCCCTCCCTAGAGGCTGCACCATCTCCAGTGGGAAGCCAGCGCTCCCCGGAGCCTCGGTGCTGCCTCGTGTCCTTCTTACCGCATCTCATCCACGGATGTGTCGGAAAGTCCCTGTCTGTGGACTCCAGGGACTGGTCGTGGGGTGGGGTGCTGAGACTCCTGACCGTCTCACATAATGAGAGCTGGCTGTAACTCATCAGGTTCCACTCCACTCATTTCAGGACGCGATGGGCCCGACAGGCGGCCCGGCGGCCTGAGCCCCTCGGGGAGTGGGGCCGGGCTTCACTCGCGGGCCCTGGGCTGTCCGTGTCTTCAGCTCCGACCTCCTGAGCCTCAGAGATACTGGCGGGCGAAGGTCTGCTTCTCCTCCAACCCTTCAGGGCCGGCCTCTCTAGCTTTGCAGACGGACTCCCCAGGGCCCGTATTCCATGGCGCCCTTCCCCCCCTGCGCCGCCTTAGCCCCCTCATCTTCCCACTGGGGGTCACCCCAGACCCCCAGTCAGACAGCCGCTGCGGGGCCGCCTCCCTGCGGCCGCGACCTAGTTCCCTGCCGTTATTTTTAGGGCGCGGGATGGCACCTGCCCACGTGCCGGGCCCCGCCTGCGCCCGAGAGTGGTGGTGGGGGGAGCTGCGTCTGCTCGGGGGAGGCGAGGGCCCTGTCCCCAACAGCACCCCCTCCATCCCGCCCGCGCAAGCCCCCTGTTTTCCTGGGAGGGGGCCACCAGGCGCGCTGTGCCCGCCCCTCGTCCACTCTCCTCCCTCCCTCCAGCTTCCCCCCCAAAATCCCCGCCAGTGGCTCACGCCTCCTGCATACGGGATGAGGTGAGCAGCGCCGCTGCTGAGAGGGGGCGCGCGCGGGTGTGAGCGTGTGTCCGTGTGCGAGTGTGTGTGCGCCGGGCGGGCGGGCGGGCACTGCAGCTTCTTCCTCTGTGGAGCGGAGAGCGAGCGAGAGAGCTCGAGCGAGCCAGAGAGCGGCGAAGGCGGGCAGAGGGGCGCGGGCAAGCGGCGCAGCCACCCCAGCCCCGCGCCGCGCCGCCACCATGCTCAACAACCTGACGGACTGCGAGGACGGCGATGGGGGCGCCAACCCTGGTAAGCGGCGGTCCGGGGGCGGCGGGGGAGGGGGCGGTCCGGGGGAGGCGGGAGCGGCTCTGGGGTCGGGGGCGGAGTGGGGGCCGCCGGTTCGGAGCAGAACCTAGCACGGAGCGGGCGCGGGCGCCGGCGGCGGCCTGGCGAGGGCTCCATTGGAATGCGCCAGGCGCTGTCCGAGGTGCTGGAATGCGCTGCGCCCGCAGGCAGAGCTGAGGCCGAGGGGTTGTGGTTCCCCGCGGCCCGGGGGCAGACTTGAGTTAGCTGTGCCGCGGAAGAGGTGGGAAGGGGATGCAAGAGCTGGCCTGGGCTGACGTGCAGCTCGACGGGCGGGAGGAGGGCTCCTGCCACCGAGAGGGGACCTGGGCGTCCTGGCGCAGAGCGGGGACCAGCGGCACCGGGAGGCGCAGTCTGCTGCAGTCCCTTGCTTTGAGACTGCCAGCTGGAAGGTGGGAGGACAGGTGGCTACAGGGCTTAGGGGGCATATGACAGCCCTCATATGAACTGCGGCGTCCCCTTGGTGCAGCCCGGGCCCCCTCCCCCAAGGCTTCTCGAGGTCCGACCTCAGACAGCAGCCACCTCCTCCATAGGTTTTCTGCTGTACTTTGTGGGATCACCCTGTCTCCCTGTAGCTTTCCTGTGGGTTCCCATTCAGGACTGGAAGCAAGATCACCCTCCTTTCTTCCCTCTTTCCCCTTCCTCTTGGTCCTCTAGGCGGTGGTGTGGTTTCCAGGGCGGGGCAGGGGGGGATCTTCCTAGTTAGCTCTGCTAGCTTTCCTAGTGAGGCCTCAGAAATGGGGTCCCAGCCACTGAATTCCCGGCGTCTCAGCGCGGGCACTGCGGACGCGCTGCGGTGGGTGCGGAGACTCTCCAAGAGCCGAGGGGCTCGGAGCAAGTCCTTTTCCTGCTCTTGCTCTCCCCCGCCCTCCTCCGCGGCTTCTCTGCTCCAAGGTCTTGGGGCCAGCCACCCCCTCCAGCTCCCAGGCCCCCCGCCGCCCCCCAGCGGTCTCAGCCATCCATCACCGATGTCAGCCGCCTCCACCCCCCACCCTCCAGCGGCGCTGCGTCCCTTGCGCACTAGCGCGCCTCCCGCGCCTGCTGTCTGCGCTCAGCGCCTTCAAACGCTCCCCTGGGCATTGCTTGACCCTCTGGGCTGAGACTCCCGCAGACCTCTCCAGAGGATGGCCAAGGGGTCACAGGGGCTGAAAGAGCTTTCTCTTCTAGACACTGGCAGCTTTGGCTCTGAGGTCTTCAGCCCAGATCCTGGTCAGAGCCAGGGTGCCACTGGGGAGTCTGGGGACACCAGGGTCCCTAATCCTTTGACTGAAACATTCTCTTCTCCATTTGTCTCTGGGACTGAGTGGCATACAGGAGCCAGAGCTATCGGCTGGCCAGCTCACCCATCTCTCGGGTCACTCATAGGGCAGCTGCCCCCTCCACCACGTGCTTTGACTGCAGGGGGAAGAGGTTTGGCAAAGTGGAGTCTGCGGCAGTGCCAGGCAATTCGGTGCCCAAGGAGTAAATTAGGGAGGGGGGCATTTCCATCTGGGATTCCCTTCTGTCCTTTAGATACCTCTACAAGACAGGGGCTCAGCCTGAGATGTAATCTCTCTGTTCTTCCAGAGAGGAAGAACCCAGAACTCGCTTCTTTACCAACACTTCACTGGGCCTCAGGCTTTCCACGGGGTCTCTGGAGGCCTAGTACAGAGACATCTATGTGTTTTAAACGGTAGTTGAACTAGGAACTCTTTTTGCCCCTCCAGATTAGCTTCCAGACATTGAGTGTAACAGGCCCATCTGGAGCCTTTCTATATATAGGGTCCAGGACGTGGGGTTAGGGACGAGGCTCTGTTCAGGTGGTCTGGGTCCCAGAGGGAGAAGGCCTCCCAAGGGCGCCTGGAGGAGGTGGTTGAAGATGGCAAGGACTTTGTGGGTTTGAGGAAAGAGAGACTGAGACCTCCTAGCATCTCTGACTCTAGATTCTTGGGGGCTGTAGGAAAAGACCTGGGTACTGACCTCCAGGAGGCGGCCTAATAAGAGGGCTCCAAGAATCCAAAGATGTTATTCCTGGCATGTCGATCTCCTTTCCTCCGGGAGTCTGACGCCCCTTCTCCCTTCCCAAGCTGGCCTAGGGATTCCCCCAGGCCCAGGCCCAGGCCTCAGGGGAGGCTCCTTAGCCTGCCTAGCTAGCCTGTTCCCTCCCCGGGAGCTCTGGCCGCCGCAGCTTAATTGAAAGCCGATTCGGGCTGAGAGCTCCCAGGGGGCGGGGGCGGGGGCGGGGAGGGCTCAGCCTCGGTCTGGCCCTGCCTCTCTCGGCCCGGGCGGCTGGGCTCCCCGCTCCCCATCGCCCTGACTCCTGGCTCTGGGGAATCAGGACGAGTTCCCCCAGATCTGTCCTGTTCCTTTGAGAACTCAGCAGCTCCCTTCCCATCCCCCTCAACTAGTGTGCACCGCGTTCCAGGAGGGGACGGAATCAACCCTCGGCTGAAAGGCCAGGAGACTGGCGTCCAGCCTAGGCGGCGGGTGGAAAGACTGGACCCGCGACACGCCTCCGGGCCGCCCCCTCCCCTGCCCTCAGCTCCTGGCCGGAATCCGGCCTGTCGTCTGCCTCCGAGCTGCGTTACATAAGCGACTGCGGGCGCGTGGCCGGCTCGGCTGGGCTCTGCGCTGCGCTCAAGGCCCGCGCGATCACCATGGAGACCGGCGCAGGGCTGCTCGTTACTCGGGGTCTCGGGCCGATGGCTGGGTTCCTGTCCCCGCAAAGGAGGAAGGATTTAGGAGGGACAAGAAAAGCAGAGCAGACGGACTGTTTTGTCTGGTGGTCTTGGTTCTAACAGGGACCCTTCTGGGAGAGCCACCGGGCCCTACGGGAGCCGGAGCAGCACCTAAATCTTGCAGCTGAGGGAGGAGTGTGGGGTGTGGGACGAGCAGCCTGGGCTGGGTGGGCATCAGATATGCTAATCATCGGAACTGTGATAGCAGCAGCAAAAGCTGTGCTTGTGTGCATGGCTCACAATATGTATTATCCCAGGCAATTCCCACCACCACTCTGTAAATTAAGCACGGTTAGAAAGGAGAAAGCCAGCTTAGAGAGTGATTTGCTAAATGGGAGGACACAGTTGGGACTGGGACCTCGATCTCCCTTACCCCTGCTCTGTTCCTTAACTGTTATCATCAGCCTCCGGTAGTTCCCACAACGCTATGATGAGAGCAGGAAGCATCTTCCAACATTTTAACATCTTCCAACATTTTCCCATTCTCTGCCCCAGACAGCTGTTTTGAAACCCTGGGGGTCAGAAAGGGAAACCCTGCGGGATTTATCTCGAAGACTGTTCCCTGAGCATCTATTACATGGCAAGGATGGGTCTGTTATTCCCAGGAACTCACATTTGAGGTGGAGGTGGTGGCAGGAGACTGGGTGGTGGTGGATTTTAGGCATTACTTTCCCTGCCTCAATTTTTAGGATGGGGTTGTGTTTAAGACAGGGACAGGTCATGCTTTGGAGATGGGCGCTGGCTGGGTGGCTGGAGACATTTCCCAGGAGGCAGGGAGAAGAAGGTGCAGCAGAGTTGAATGTGTGGGGTAGGGGAGAGGACTGCTGGGAGATGAGGGGGCAGCAGAGGCAGCCTCACCTCGGATTTGGTCAGTGGGAGCCTCTCCAGGGTCTCTGGAAATGCCTGCTTCTGGGATTTGGCCTTGGAACTGCAGAAGGCTGATCACTGGACACAAGGAAAGTGCTTGTGGAGGCCTCTATTTATTTTATGACAATATCTTGCTGAGATGCCCAGGCTGGTCCTCCTGCCTCAGCCTCTCATGAGCTGGGATACAGGTGTGTGCCACCACAGGTGGATCTCTATGGAGGCTTTTTACGTCTTTCTGAAAGGACCCTTCCCTTGATGTCAACAGATTTTCTCCTTGTGTGATCTCACTGGGGCACCTTGCTTGACACATCACATACGTTTACATGAGGTTCCCTTTTTCCTGCCCAGTCTCAGTCCTGATCCTCATGTTTGAACGTGAGTGCCTTCCAGTGCCTCATCTCAACTAGATGGGGGTAGGTGCCTGTCCTATCCCCAGACTGCTGCTAATCTACTCTCTGAACTTATTAAGCAGCACCATTACCCACTTAGTCACCCATGCTAGAAGCCCCAAGCATAATGCTGGGTTCTTGCCCTCCTCCCCAAATGCCTGACATAGAAATGCACCCATAATACCCTGGGCTGGGTAATTACTAGCCCTTGCCTGCATTATTGAAAATTTCTAGCTCTGGAATTCCCTGCCAGAATGATTGTTCTAAAACACAAGTCTGCTCATGGCACTTCTTTGCCTGAAACTTCAGTGACCGTCCGTCATCCTCTGAATGAGGGCCAGACTCTTAGGATGTCCTGCTAATGGCTGAAGGACCCAGTCCACACTTACCTTCCAAGGTTCACCTTTTCCTACACACAACTTATTCTTCAGCCTCACAATGTGTCCTCTTCAGACCCCAGCTGTATCAGACTTCGGCTTCTTTAATCCGCTCTGTACAATCTCATCTCTGGGCCATCGAACACGCTGTTCTGCTGTTCTGTCTGCCTGGAACGCCCTCCCTGCCTCCCTCCCGTCCAGCTCTTACTCATCCTTGGGCTCCCAGCTGACACGTCACTTCCTCTGGGAAGCCTTCTGTGACCTCCGGCTGGGCTGAGTGCCCTCCTGTGTTCCCATGGTGCTGTGTTCATCTCTCTCCTAGACTTTCTCCACCTGGTTTGGAAATTCCTGGTTGCTGCTTTGTCTCCTCTGGCCTTGGTTGATTCCTTAAGGGCAAGAGTGGCATCTTAGGTTGTTTTGTTCTCGTTCTGGCCATGCCAATATTGGCACTTGGTAGACATCCAGTTGATTGAGAGGTGTAGGATATGCCACAAGGGGCACTTTTCTGAAGGTGGACTGTCCTCAGATGGAGTCTCAGTGTTCCTGTCTTCCTCCTTGGGAAAGAATGTGTGCCTGCCCTGCACCTTCAGGACAGACCTAGTCAAGTTCAACGGTGGCACTCTGGAGAGTCTTGGGCTACCCCAGTGAATGAAACGGGATTCTTTCCAGAGCAAGGAAGGGCTCACATGTCCATTAAACATGCAGTACAAGCCAGGCAGTGTACCTGGCTCTCTGCACATGCGGTCTGCTAAGGTCCTGCAAGGCAGGCAGTATAAGCCCCATGTTTCCTAACTTGCAAAACAAGGTTCTGAGAGTTGGAGTGGCTGCACAGCCGTGTGCCAGCGTGGACGAAGGACAAAGAGTTTGTGGCAGTCCCCTGACTCCTCTGCCTTCTCAGGTGATGGCAACCCTAAGGAAAGCAGTCCCTTCATCAACAGCACGGACACAGAGAAGGGAAAGGAGTACGATGGCAAGAACATGGCCCTGTTCGAGGTGGGCTGCAAGGGCTGTCGGCCCCCTACTTACAATTGCCACCTGGCTCATCCTCCCTGGGAAGCGTATCCTCCTCTCCACCACTCCCTTACGTGCATCTCTTTTCCCGGGCCTCCCTAACCTCCAGCTTTAGCCCCTCTCCTCCCCACCCCCCTCCTCCTGCATCATTTCCTCTGTCCTGTTCCCACTGCCTGTTCCTTCTCCTAACTTTGGTGGTTTTACCCATCCTGTCCCTGTCCTCTGCCCTCTACCATCCAGCTCACCCCACTCCCTCTCTGAGACCACCAGCTTCCCTAACACACTGACACCCTTCCTCTGTAGGAGGAGATGGACACCAGCCCCATGGTGTCCTCCCTGCTCAGTGGCCTGGCCAACTACACCAACCTGCCCCAGGGAAGTAGGGAGCACGAAGAGGCGGAAAACAATGAGGGTGGAAAAAAGAAGCCGGTGCAGGTGGGGCCTTGGGGAGAAGGGCTGGGGGAGGAGAGATGGGAGAGGAAAATACTCAAGTGGAGGGCTGGATGATGGAGGCAAAGGGGTGGGATTTGGAGGCTGGGGTGGGGAAGGCGTGAGAGCTGAAGGGTGGAGATGGAGGGGTGCAGGGAGGAAATGGCTGGAAGGATGGATGGTGGAGGCAGAGGGATGGGAGCTGGACTCTGGAGGAGAGGAGGGAAAGGTATTAAAATCAGAGGGAAGGGGGAGGAGCATGGAGGAGGAGTGGGTGGGGCGTCCATAATGGACAGGGACTGCAGGGACTGACACTGGCTTTTCTGGCAGGCCCCACGCATGGGCACCTTTATGGGTGTGTACCTCCCGTGCCTGCAGAACATCTTTGGCGTCATCCTCTTCCTGCGGCTCACCTGGGTGGTGGGCATCGCAGGCATCATGGAGTCCTTCTGCATGGTCTTCATCTGCTGCTCCTGTGTGAGTGACGCCCCAAGAGCTGGGGCTTGGCAGAGGCCTGGGGGTGGGAGGTGGGAGGGTGCAAGCGTGAGACCTGTGCTTTTTATAGGAACCACTGCTCATGATCTTTGAGAGTAAATTAGTTCTGACTGGCCCTTCCTGCCTCGCAGAGGCTTGGTCCTGGTGGCTGCTAACCAGGCTCCACCTGGGTCTGTAGGTGCATGTAATCATACACATAGTGCAGATTCATGGATGAAAACGATACGTGTAGAGAAAAAAATACAGTGCTCCTGTAATCCATAATAGCTACCTTTTGGTAGGCTCCAATGCACAAAAAGAATGACATATATACCACAGATCACACAGTGATCAGATCCTTCCCATCCTCTAGAAAATATCAAATATTCACCAGACATTCCTGATACTTTTAGGTGTCCTGGCACACAACCCTGAGACAGCTCTGCATGTGAGGCAGACAGCACCGAAGCTGTTCTGTAGATGAGGAGACAGGAACTAGAGAAATGAAGCCTTGGGTCTTGTGGCTGGTCATGGGCCAGGCTGGGGTTTCCAGAGCTCTCTAGTGCTGTAGATTCTGCTCCTCCCCTTCTCATGGTGAACAAGAGGTTTTTGTGAGAAGGACTTGGCTTGGCATGAGTCAAAGTTGGAGCGGGCCCAGGAAGAAGCCCAGCAGAAGAGAACTTGTGGGTTTGGCTAGTGTTTATGGGGTATATGGCTTGGCCTCCGCCCAGGCCACTGTGGCCCCCAGCAGCTGCCTCTCTCATGATCTCTTTCCTCACAGACGATGCTCACGGCCATTTCGATGAGTGCGATTGCAACCAATGGTGTTGTCCCTGGTATGTGACTGGGGTCTCTGGGGAGAGGAAGGGGCCTGGTGGTTGGAAGACGGGACAGTGCTCTGGGCTTTGAGGGTCATCAAAGAGACCAAGAGAAGCAACACTGCAGAGCAGGGAGTGGGGGTGGGGCTGCTCCTGGGTTGGTAGCAGGAGCTCATTGGGGTAGGAGAGGGAGGCAGTTGCTGGTGTTGAATAGAGCACTGGCAGCCCCCCACCCTTAGCCTGGGCCCCTCCTCTCCACCACTCTGTTTTCTGAGCTATGACCTCCTTATAGGGGTAATTAGCAACATGGTAATTAGCACTGCAAAATCCATGCAGAGAGCTTGGCTGGGTCTCCCAACAGTCTCCTTTCTGGGGGCTGCAGCCTGAAGCACACAGCAGCCCTCTTCTGTCCTCTGTCACTGAGTCCCCCGTCCCCCCTCCCCCAGAGCATCCCAGGATCCCACATCCCTCTTGCTGACACTAGGCTTTCTCTGCAGCTGGTGGCTCCTACTACATGATTTCCAGGTCTCTGGGCCCAGAGTTTGGGGGCGCCGTGGGCCTCTGCTTCTACCTGGGTACCACCTTTGCTGGGGCCATGTACATCCTGGGTACCATCGAAATCCTGCTGGTGAGAGGGGCTAAGGAGGAGGTGTGGGGTCCCAGGCTGTCAGCCAATTAACCAACACTCTCGGGACACCTCCTGTAGGTCAGGCCACTCAGGAAGGCCAAAGAGAAATCAGATGTGGTTCTGTCTTGAAAGAGTTCCCAATCTAGTTGGGGAGACAAGATACAATAATTATGTAACACAAACAGCTGCCGTTTATCAGGCACCCACTGAGCTCTCAGCATAGTTCCAAGTGCTTTCCAGTCATTATCTTGAATCCTTCCAAGGTTTGAGTATTATGATGCCCGTTTTACAAATGACAGGCTCGGAGAGGTGGGACAATTTGCTGAAGGTCACTCAGCTATCCGGGAGGTGGCAGAAGGTGGGTTGACATGAGTAAAAATAATGGAAGGAACACTGGTAATGCCACCCAGTAGCTGCCGTTTGGTGGTCGCCTGCCCCAGGACGGGGCTGTGCTAAGTACTCTAAGCATGTTGACTGTAGAGCACTGATGACCGCAAATAAGAAAAACCCTGCGCAGAGTGATCAGTTAGCAGCAGTGACTGATGGGCTGTGCTCCAAGGACGGACATGCTCCCGCAGGTCTCTGTTCTTTCTGCTTTTCTGCAGGGTGGGTGCTGATGAGGGTTCCCTGGGTCATAGGAAGTGGAGGTGACATTTCCTCACCCCTCACCCTCCTGAAAGCCCTCTGGAAGTAGTGTATCACGTAGTTTTGCCTGGATAACTCTCTCATGAGTTAGAAAGTAGCCATTTTACAGATGAGGAGAGCAAGGATTGCGGAACTTAAGGGACGTGTGAAGGACACGAATGCGTGTCTTCTGATGCCAAAGCCTGTCCTGAGCACCACACTGCCTTGGAGAAGTAGGAGGGAGGTGTCATAGCTGCTGGTTTTAGGGCAAGACAGAAGACAGAAGGAACCAAGGTGGAGAGGGTGAATGGGAAGCTAGAGGCCTGAGGGAGCAGATGGTGAGAGAAAACTGAATATTTTAAAATGTATTATAAATGAAATTCTGGATTGTGTACATAGCTGAGTGATAGCATACTTGCTTAGTATGCTCAAGGCCCTGAGTTTGGTACCCAGCACTGTAAATAAATAAATAGCAGTCTTACCATTGCATACAGCTGGGAACATATCAAAGTAAAGACAAAATAAAGGAGAAAAATAATCACCGAAAAGAAAATCACCATCTAACATTTTGGCATATTTTCTTCTAGTTTTTATTTTTCTACATGACATGGCATTCTGTCTTTGTAAAATATACACTTATACCACAAACACTTCCCTAAATAACTGGAAATTCTCTTTATGAATATCATTCATAAGTGAAACAACTTTCATATCTGCTTAAGCATAAGATTTAGTATAGAATTTTAGAAAATACAGTTGTGCACAAAAATGAATATTATTCACAGTTTAGTTATTCAGGCAAAAGCACCATTAACATTTCAGTGCCCTACAAACACACACCCAGACACACACATCCATAAATATTTTCATAACTAAACTTATAAAAATGAGAAAAGGAGACATTTTAAGAGAACTTGATTGTGTCCACCTACTACAAGTAGATTTATTTGTTCTTGGTGCTGGGGGCTGAAGCCAGGTCTTGTGTGCTTGCTAAGTACCAGGTCTACCATTAAGATATGCCCCAGTCCTGTGCCATCTTTGACAGCTTCATAGTTTGTGTGAGGATGTTGTGATTTCTGTACCTAACCTCTAAGAATGAACATGTGACTTCTTTTCCTCTTTCTGTTAGAAATAATAAAGCAGTAAGTAATCATTAATGACAAAGCAATGCAAATAAACAATTATCCCTACCATCTTTGCACTGCTGTTAAGGTATTACATCATAGTCCTTAAGGACAGCCCCTCCCCCGTCACCCGGTGTCACTTCCCGTACTACACTATGCCAGGTGCTGAGACAGGAATCCTTTTTCCACGATGCCCCACCCAGACTTTAAATGATGTCCCTGGGGTGATTCTCAGCTGGTCCTCAGTGGGTCACCCGCCTGACCTTGTTGTCCACTTCTTGCAGGCTTATCTCTTCCCAGCTATGGCCATCTTCAAGGCAGAGGATGCCAGTGGGGAGGCAGCCGCCATGTTGAACAACATGCGTGTGTATGGCACCTGTGTGCTCACCTGTATGGCCACTGTGGTATTTGTGGGTGTCAAGTATGTCAACAAGTTTGCCCTGGTCTTCCTGGGTTGTGTCATCCTCTCCATCCTGGCCATCTATGCTGGGGTCATCAAGTCTGCCTTTGACCCACCCAACTTCCCGTGAGTGCTGCCTCTGTGAGGCTAAGGTGTTATCCTCTCCTCTCCCAGCCTCATTTTGGGGTGTGTACACCAGTCTCTGCCAAGCCCCCTCTCCCCACCTCTTGGAATCTGTGGGATGTGGGTTGGGGGAGCCACCTGCCTTGGGAGGGAAAGTCTCTCCTGGATTGAGGGCAATTTCTTCAGGGTGGAATAACTTTTCTGGAGATGGGAACAATTTCCTTGTGAGAATCAATGCTTGCCTGTGGGGTGGCCTTAAGAATTTCATGAAAATGACTTCTGAAAGGATGAACACTGTGGTGGCCAAAAACTTCCTGGATGGGATCATCTCCTGGAGTAAGACAAACTTAGTTTTGGAATGCTTCTGGGTGGAAAAAGACCTAGAAGAGAGGATTCAGGGCTCAGATCCCGGTCAGTTCTGTGGCTCTTCTAGGGCAGAGGCCCTCTATTCCATGGGCGCAGGGAACAGCACCGGAGGCTGTTGTCCATGGTGCTGAAAGAGCATCTTGCTAACGTAGTGATTCTCCTCTGCCTTGGTGCTACATCAGAATCGTTTGAGGATCTTTGCTGGGCTCCATCCAAATTAAAACAGAATCTCTGGATGTGGGTCCCTGGTATCTGTGTTTTAAAGGTCTCCAGAGGTTTCTTGTTTTGAAGCCGGGACGAGGTCACGTCCCTCCCCATCTTCCTTGCTTGTGTTTCTCCCTAGGATCTGCCTCCTGGGGAACCGCACACTCTCTCGTCATGGCTTTGATGTCTGTGCCAAGCTGGCTTGGGAAGGAAATGAGACAGTGACCACGCGGCTCTGGGGCCTTTTCTGCTCCTCCCGCTTCCTCAATGCCACCTGTGATGAGTACTTCACCCGAAACAATGTCACGGAGATCCAGGGGATCCCTGGTGCTGCCAGTGGCCTCATCAAAGGTCTGGGGAAGGGAAGGGGGCTGGTATCCAGAGAGAACCTCAGGGATCCTAGGTTAAGTGGTCAGTATTAGGAGGCCCTCCTTGGGACAACAGATGAACTCAATCCCCTTTAACTGATCATCTGCTTTGGGCTATGTCTTGCCCTGGGCATCACAGAGGGGTAGAGATTTAAAAGGAGGTGAACCAAGCATGGTAGTACATGCCTGTAATTCCAGCACTCAGGAGGCAGAGACTAGAGGATGGCTGCAAATTCAAGGCCAGCCTGGGCTACATAGTGAGCCTCTGTCTTAAAAAAAAGACAGAAAAGAAAAAAGAAGGGAAGAATAGTTTATCACTGGTAGGAAAGAAACTCACCAATTTAACAAGTATTCACTAAGCATCTACTAACTACCTAGCACTAAGATTAGTAGTAGGAATACATAATAAAATAAGTCAAGTCTTTGGCCTCAAGGAATCTAGTGACAGAGACAGATGTATTAGCAAATAAATTATGACACAAGTAGATGTGTACTCAATGAACAGAGAATTCTCGGGGGAGAGAGTGCTTTTGTGTATCAGGTGACAAGACTAGGCTTCCCGTACTCACTTGAGGAGAGTTTTGAAGGACAAATAAGATTGTCAGTTATATCAGGAAATAAGGGAGTCACAAATCAAAGAACAGCTGGTTTAATGCATGCAGAGAGCAGCATATTGTGTGCTCCTGACCATAAGTAATTTGGTATGATTGGGGTGGATGAAGTGCAAAAGAAAGAGGCCAAGAAATGATGTTGGCGAGCCGGCGTGCACCAGATTGGGGTAGGCCTCGGAAGGCATGCGGAGGGGTTTAGACTGCATGGTGAAGACCATCAGAGTCCAAGAGGAGGCTGCTGTGAGCCCAGGAGAGAGATGAGAGTTTCCTTCACTAGAATGATGGAACAGAAGTTTTGTTCATGGCTGTTTTACCTCTTTGGAGGGATTTGGCCATGACTGCACAGGACTTTGGAAAATTGGAAGGGTGTTAGTGCCTTTAGTGGAAAGATGCTGCCTTTAGGCCAAGATGCTGTGGAGCAGTCTATGCCTACAGTGCTACAAGACAGCTTTGGAGCGAAGAATCATCTGGCCTCACATGTCACCAGTGCCAAGGCGGGAGGCACACTGGAGGCATCCTTGAAATGTTAAGGAGGGCTCCTGGGTGGAATTTGGAGTTTGGGGAAGAGGTGGGAGCAGTTGAGAGCAATGCTAAGGTATCTGAATGGATGAGAGTACTTTTACTGAGATAAGAGATGCAGAAAAGGTTGGAGGGAATGATTCGATCACTTTGGGATATACTGAGTCATTCTGAGGTGGGTCTTTATGTGTCTGCCTGGCTAGATTAAACTATTGGTGGGCAAGCTCTGAGTTGGATGTATCTGTGAAATCTCTGGCCCAAAGCAGGGGCTTACAAAATGTTGGTGGTATGAAATGCAGCCAGGAGGAGTGAGATGTGATTGCTTCACTCTTATTTTTGCCCATTGCACCTCTGGTCCTCTGACTTCCAGCCTTCCTCCTGAGCATTCTGTCTCCCCACAGAGAACCTGTGGAGCTCCTACTTGACCAAGGGGGTGATTGTGGAGAGACGCGGGATGCCCTCGGTGGGCCTGCCTGATGGCACCCCCATCGACATGGACCACCCCTATGTCTTCAGCGATATGACCTCCTACTTTACCCTGCTGGTTGGCATCTACTTTCCCTCAGTCACAGGTGAAGGGGAGCTCACAGAGGGAGGACTCTGCCTGGGACTGGGTGGGTCAGAGAGAGACAATGATGAGGTTGGGAATTCTTAGGCCAGTGGTCCCCTCAAGTAAGCAGGAGCCAGCAGTTCAGTCCCCACTGGACAGATGAGGAAATGAAGGCCGGAATATGCCTAAGAGCTCACATGAGTCAGCATCCAGGACTAGGTCCAGGCCCCTTGCCTCCGAGATCTGTCCTTTTTTCTCTCTCTCTCTGTTCTCCTGTGGTCTGGCTCCTGTCTGAGCTGCTCCTCTGTTCACAGGGATCATGGCCGGCTCTAACCGCTCTGGCGACCTGAGGGATGCTCAGAAGTCCATTCCCACGGGCACCATCCTGGCTATTGCCACCACCTCTGCTGTCTGTATCCTGTGCTGCTGGGCTGGGAACACCTGGTGGGGAATGCTGGAAGGGCCACGCTGAGGTTGCTGCCTTTCCTGGCTGGTTCAGGAGAAGTTGCAGGGGGCCGTTCTCTACTTTGGGGTTTCTCCTTCATTCAGTGCTGCAGATATCAGCTCAGTTGTTCTGTTTGGGGCCTGCATTGAGGGGGTCGTCTTACGGGACAAGTAAGTCAGAGAATTCGGGTTGATCCTGTCCTGGAGGAGAGGACACATGAGGCTGGGTTCTGGGAAACAGGGGGTGCTGGGACCAGTTCAAGGAGCTTGTGGGAGGGAGGCTGCTAGGGTCATTTGCAAACACACCTTGTTATTACATTTTATCTTTCTGCCAGGTCAGGCAGCTTAAATGATGTCTCATTTCCTTTAGGATAATGATACTTTCCTTCTCTTTTGTTTAAAATCTCATTAACTCATTAACATTGACTGGATGTTTATAGACTGGTCACTGTCTAGGGCTGGAGGGGGAGCAAAGATAAATGACACACACTTCTTGCCCCAAGGAGTTCTTTGGGGATGGTGACCCCACTTGCTGAAAAACTTGAAATGCAGAGCAGTAAGAGTGACCATGAATAGGACCACAGGGGCTCTGGGAGTTCACAGAGGACCGCAGTCCTGTCCTCAGGAGACTGAGAAAGGCTTTCCTGATGGGGTGGGGTTGCAAGTGTCTTATGTGTCTTAAAGTTGGTCTTCAACCCACCACGAATTGGAAATATTTGAAAAGATAATTACACCTGTAATGTACAGACTTTCTTCTATGCTATTATTCCCTAAACAATATAGCAGAACAGTTATTTCTAGAGCACTTACATTATGTTAGATACTGTAAGTAATCCCTGGATGACTTAAAGTATATGAGAGGAAGTGCATAGGTTATGTGCAAAAATCGTACCAAATTTTATATAGGCCACCTGAGCATCACAGATTTGGCATCCACCAGGAGGGCCCTGGAACAGCCCCTCTGAATACCGAGGGACAGTTGTAGTCCATTCATCCTTTCCATTTCAGGGCTGAACAGAGATTAGGCAGCTAGGATGGGGAACAGTACACCAGGCAGTGGGGTTGGCAGAGTGTGTGTGTGCATGTGTGTGTGTGCTTGTGTGTATGTATGTGGCTATGAACAGTTTCAGCGCCTCAACACCCTCCCCTCTGGAGGCCACATGTGCTGGCTATGAGCAGGGTAAGCGAGGAGGTGTCATCACAGAATCACATTCCAGGGTACTCCTGGCAGGAGTTAGGTAACGAAAGGGGAGCATGAGCTGGAGATCTAGGCTAGAGTCAGCACACTGGCCACATGACAGCTTCCTTTTAGTATTTAAATGGAGGAAACCCTGAGAGGTTTCAGACAGGGTAATGACCCAGGCGAGTGGACTGTGCGCATATATTACACCTGTTAGTTCTAGGGCAGGTTGACTTCTACTTCATTTAATCGCAGACGTCACACAACATTGCACAGCAGATCATGCACTGCAGCTCTTCCTTGGATTTTTTTTTTTGGTTCTTATGACATCACTACAGGAACCAGAGTCCCATTTTCCACAGGGAGACCCAGATGCTGACACTCTCAGGATAATGTAATACTAACACTTGGCCGTTTACTAGAATCACGTTGGTACCACGTTCTGGGGCTAAATGTGTTATATATTGAACCTCCTTTTCCTCCCCCCCCCTCAGCAACTGTATGAGATAGGCTTATAGTGAGTCTTGTTTTGCAGCTAAGAAAACAGCTCAGAGGGGTTCAATGACTTGCTCAAGGTCACACAGCAGAAAGTGCTCAGGATATTTGGAGTGTGTCTCATTAAATCCAGGTAGCAATGCTCACCCGGCATCTCCCGTCTGCTTACTGCTTTACTCCAGGTTTGGCGAAGCTGTGAATGGCAACCTGGTGGTGGGCACGCTCGCCTGGCCATCACCCTGGGTCATTGTCATCGGATCCTTCTTCTCCACCTGTGGGGCTGGGCTGCAGAGCCTCACGGGGGCCCCGCGTCTGCTGCAGGCCATCTCCCGGGATGGCATAGTGCCCTTCCTGCAGGTCAGTGCGGGCAGGCGGGCAGCCTCTCCCAGTAGCTCAGCTGGCCAGGGCCCTGCCAGGAGGTCACACAGTGAATGAGGGCCACTGTCAGGCCTGAGCTGCCCTTGGGCACCTCTGCTCAGGACTGCACTGAGGATAATGGGTGGGCTTTATTTGGGATTTGACCCATGGTCAGCCCATCTCTTCCAGCATCCTCTGCTCTCGGGGGGGGGGGAAATAAAAGTGTCCTTATTCAGGCCCTGGAGGGTGGTCAGGGACTTAGAAGGGGACTTGGAGCACAGGAACGGGTGGTTCTCTCCATGATGCTTGAGAAAAAAGATTTATGGTGCACAGCCATGGCTGCTCGCTGGCCTCTCGATGGCTCCTTTCTCATCTGCACTTCTGGGCCATCTTGTCCCTTCAGAGGTCATTTGAGCTTCATAGCACTTGGGTGTCAATATCAGGTGGCAAAAGCCTGCTATCCCCTTGGGCTTCCCAGCGGGTGAGGATGCAGCCTCCTCTCTCTACAACCCTTCCTGGTCGTAGCATTCCTGTCTGTCCTCCACTGGTTCCCAAGACCAGGGAGAGAGGCAAGAAGTCCTTACGGGTTCAGTCCCCTCACTATGGTGGCTCTGTCCCCAGGTCTTTGGCCACGGCAAAGCCAATGGAGAACCAACCTGGGCCCTGCTGTTGACAGCTGGCATCTGTGAGATCGGCATTCTCATCGCCTCCCTCGACGAGGTTGCCCCCATCCTGTCCATGTGCGTGTCTGGCTTTGTGCCCTCCCCGTGAGCTTGTGTGCTTCTCCACCTGGGACCCTGACAACCTGCCCAAACACTTCAACTCTGAGAAGTTTCTCCCTCGCTGGGAAAGCCCGTCCTCTGTTATACAGAGCTTTACCCCATTTATGTCTGGATGAGTTCTGAGGATTGAACTCACGGCCTCGCAATTGCCAGGCAGGCACTTATGCCACTGAGCTAAATCCCCAGCCCTAGGTCTGGATGAGTTGTGGAGGATGTGGCCTTTGAACAGCTCCCGAAACACCAGAGCACCATTTCCCTCCCTGTCCCTGTGCCTTGTTTCTGTTTCTGCTCCCCTTGGGCATCTCTGTTTCTCGGGGGTCTTTCTGTGTTCCAGGTTCTTCCTGATGTGCTACATGTTTGTGAACCTGGCCTGTGCCGTGCAGACGCTGCTGAGGACGCCCAACTGGAGGCCACGCTTTCGCTATTACCATTGGTGGGTGCCCTGTCCTGCCACCCACCCCACTACACCATGACTTCCTCCCAGCCCCCAGCCCAGCCCACTCCCTCCGGGTCTGCAGACCCCACATGTGAAGAAGACACCCCATTTTTATCTAGCTTTGTAGCCCAACTAGGATGAGAAAAGTCCTGGAGAAGGTCTGCTCATAGCCCTGACTAATAATGTAACACAACTTGAAACGGCCCGCTGTGACCCTCAGCATCTTACAGTACAGCATGGAGGTTAGAGTCAGCCCTACCTGAAGTGAAAATATGACTGTATTCCCTGTCAGGCTTTGGGCTGATGACAGCCTCTCAGCACTTAGTTTACCCATCTGTGAGATGGGCCTGTTAGCTTCACCCCCCCCCCTTCTGGGGCTCTCGTAAGCATCCTAGGGCTGGTGCAGGGAAGATGGTCATTCCAAGGAGGCTGGGTTCTTCCTATCATAACACTGGGCAGCTTTTCATGTCCACCCTGGAACCGCAGGAATAACACGAGGAATATGAGCTCACACAGGGCAAGGGACTGGCCAAGGCCACCCAGGAGGGCGATGGTGTAGTGGACTTGCACTTGCTTTGCTGGGAGTCTCTTCTTAGACCTTCTGCGTCCAACTTCTAGAGACCCCTGCCTGGAACCACCCAGCTAGGACTGTCTGGCAGGCTCAAGGGCACAGAGACAGGGTGGTGTGTGACTCAGGGGGTGGGTGGGGCATAGTGCCCTGTCCAGCTGCTCATTCATCTGCAAGTTCTCTTAACAGTGCCAGTAGTGTGAGCACCCTTAGACCTGACCCTTGCTGCCCAGGTCCTGCTCAGGCTCTGCCCACCTCTTGCTGGAAGCCCAGGCTCCGGTGATATCCCTGCCAGGGCTGAGAGGTCGGGTCTCTCTCCATTGTCCAGGACCCTCTCCTTCCTGGGCATGAGCCTGTGCCTGGCCCTCATGTTCATCTGCTCCTGGTATTACGCGCTGGTGGCCATGCTTATTGCCGGACTCATCTACAAGTACATCGAGTACCGTGGGTGAGTGTGGGAAATGGGAGAGGCTGAGGGGCAGGGGTGGTGGTGGGTGTGGGGAGGAGACAGGGAGTGGGGAGGACAGCGCTGGGTGGAGGGACAGGCGATGCAGGATGGGGTTGGGAGATGGGCACTGGGGCTTTGAGAAACACTCAGAAAAGATGGGGGAATGGATTCAGGAGTGAGTTTCCAAGGAACCAGCTCAGGCTTGATGGAGCCAGGGAGCAGGAGTGACAGGTCTGTTGCTTCTGAGCCGAGATAGACGGTCGTGCCCTGGGGCAGCCAGTTCTGTGCTGATGGTTCTCTCTGTCCCTCTCTGGCCTCATGTGATCCCCGTCCTGACCCCCAGGGCAGAGAAGGAGTGGGGCGATGGGATCCGAGGCCTGTCTCTCAGCGCCGCCCGCTATGCGCTCTTGCGCCTAGAGGAAGGGCCGCCGCATACCAAGAACTGGAGGTGAGTGGCGAGGGGCACAGAGCAAGGGGCGCAGGGTCAGGACAGGAACAGAGCAGGGGCCAGACTCATCCACTTGCTGAGTGGCACCAGGCAGGCCTGGCCTTGCCCGACACCAAGGCTGACCCGTGTCTTAGACCTGTGTCCTCCAAAGCCTACCCACCATGCCATCCACCTGACCATCTACTCATCTATTTACCCAAAAAGCTTGGGAACACATGATATGCAGCAGGCTGCCGCCCACTCTGTGGCGATGTAATGAGGTCACGGTTCTGTGGCGATGTCACCCAGAACCAGATAAACATCATATCTCATAGAATTTATCTTTCACTTTGAGAGCAGCAATAGCATCTCTTAGGAATCTCAGATTTTATTCCTGTGAAGTCAGGAGCTTAGAGAAGGTCTCAGGAGTCCCAGGAAGGGGTGGTCAGCACCCTCCGCCCCTGCCTGTCAGCCTCGGTGCCTTCTCACTGGCTGCCCTGCCTGCCCAAACCTTACCCACGCCCCAGGTCCCACTTTGCCATGAGTAAGGCTGCAGCTCTGAACTGTGCGTAGGAACTGTCACCTTGTGTCCACTGATGTTGACTAAACCAGGACTTCAGACACTAGAGCTTTGCATTACAAATGATCAGCACAGAGTCTAGCCCAAAGTAGGTGCCTGAAGGACTGGGTTAGGGTTAGGTGAATGAATTGAGGTGGCTGAGTGAGGAAGGAGATGAACCCATAACTAGCTGGTAGGATGGGTAGATGTGTATCTGTACAGGACGGAAGTTGGTTAATAGATGGATGAATGGGTAACAGGTAGGTGAATGTGTGGGTAATAGTGAACAAGGCACATGTAGGTAAACCAATAAGGATATGAGTGGATGACTGAAGGATAAACCGAATGAGGGCGTGGACAGACAGATGCATGCTGTAGGTAGATGGAGGGGTGGGTGGGGGTGCATACATGGAGGGATGGATGAAGGCCTTGTTATCCAAGGCAGTGTGTGACTGGTGGATGTTAAGCCAGATGTGTGGGTGATGGGAACAGGTGGGTGCGGTACAGAGGACAATGGCTTGGTGAGGGATGATGGGTGGATGGTGGGTGGCTGGTTGGGGAGGAGGTAGATGGGTCACATGACTCTGCACCCCCTTCAGACCCCAGCTGCTGGTGCTAGTGCGCGTGGACCAGGACCAGAATGTGGTGCACCCACAGCTGCTCTCACTGACCTCCCAGCTCAAGGCAGGGAAGGGCCTGACCATTGTGGGCTCTGTCCTCGAGGGTACCTTTCTGGATAACCACCCCCAGGCCCAGCGGGCAGAAGAGGTGAGCAGAGGGTTGGGGATACTCAGGAAGTCAGGCTCGGCCCCTCTGTACTTTTCCTCCTTATACTTTTGGATCCAAGGGGGCTCAGTTTCTGTCTTCTTTCTTAGAAGAGGCACCCTAGGGCCCAGAGTTGCTTAAAATTCAATCTACAGAACCCGAGAGCATCAGAGCCAAAGGGCCCATTTTATGGATAAGGAAACTGAGGCTTAGAGAAGTCAGGTCAGCTAAGGACAAAAACTGAGACTCAAATTAGGACTGCTTGACACCCACTCCAGACTTCTTCCTGCCAAAGTATAAACATTTCAAAGTGTTTTCACATTCGTGGCCTCTTTCATTATACACTGCATGACGTTGGCAGGGTGAGTACCCACAGCTGACTGAGGAAGAAACCGAAGCACAGACAGGGGAAGCAGCTTGTGGAAAGTCACAGAGCTGGCTGGAAACCTAGTCAGGTCCCTGGCTCTCTGTCCCCTGCTTTTGGCTCCCTGGTCTACACCCACAGAGCAGCACACTGAGCTCCTGCGGCCCGGGGTGGCCTATGCCTGCACGGAGCCCTAAGAGGAGTTTGAAACCCATGGGCAGTAGGGGAAGGAGAAGGAGCTTGGAAGCCAGGCCTTCCTCCTCTGGCTGGGATGGAGTCCGAGAGCAGGGCCTGAGGAAGTCGAGGGGCCAGGGGGGGCACCCCTAATGGCTTGTGACAGTTGCTGTTTCTGCCCCACTGAGCCGTTCACACCAATCTGTCAGGACCCGGAGCTGCAGGCCTGGACTCAGGTCAGCACAGTGCAGCAGGCGCCATGGCTGAGGAGGTGCTGTGGACCAGGCACTGGGCTAGGCACAGGGTGATGGAGATGGTCAGGAGCCAGTTTGCACGGGGGCCACAGGCTGGTGGGGCAGACAGAACCCATCTACGAAGAAGGCTGCGAAGCCTTGGCTGCTGCTGAATGCTGGGCTGGGGTCGGGGCAGCAGGACAACACAGTGGGTTTGTGTATCACGTATGTTACGCAGTGCACACAGCCCTCCCAGGTGCCGGGTTCTGTCACCTTCCCTACTCCTAAGTCAGGTGGCTGATGTGAGCCCTGTTTGACAGAAAGGCACAGAAGTTAGAGGACTTGCTCAAGGTCACGGCCAAGAGGTGGCAGAGACGGAAATTAACCCGACTGTTTGACATCAGGGCAGTGACTGGGGGTGGTGGCTGGCGTGAGATTCTTAGAATCTGAATCTCCTTCCCACTGGCTGTGTATCCTTGAGCAAGTCTGTTTTCTCAAGCCTCAGTTTCCTCACTGATAAAGTACGAGTATTAAGAACATTTCCCTCAATGCAAGTTAAGTGTGCATTTAAAATGCTCATGAGAGCCCAGTGTGGGGCTGTACCCTCCAATCTCAGCACTTACGAAGCTGAGGCAGGAGGATTCCCACAACTTTGAGGCCAGCTTGAGCTACATTATGAGTTCCAGGCCACCCTGAACCACACAGTGAGATTCTGTCTACCCCCTGTTACTATGCTACTTAAAAAGTGTTAAAACAAATTGGCCCAGCAGATAATGCCGGTCTGGGTGGAGGGACTGTCTGGAGAGGGTGGCATTTGAGCTGGGTGAGGCAGGATTAAGTGCAGTAGGCAGGGGTGTGTTGGGGTGGTGATGTAAGTCCTCAGGCAGGGCAGCCGGGAGGGAAGGAGGCCTGAGGCTGGTTCTTACCTGCACCCGCCCCCAGTCTATTCGGCGCCTGATGGAGGCAGAGAAGGTGAAGGGCTTCTGTCAGGTGGTGATCTCCTCCAACCTGCGAGACGGCGTGTCCCACCTGATCCAGTCCGGAGGCCTCGGCGGGCTGCAGCACAACACCGTGCTTGTTGGCTGGCCCCGTAACTGGCGGCAGAAGGAGGATCACCAGACCTGGAGGAACTTCATCGGTAATGCCGCGGTTTGCACGCAGAGGAGGGTGGTGGCAGGCTTCGTCGGGCCTCATGGTTTTCCCTGGGAGAGAACACACAAGGGCCGGACTTGCTCACAGCTGGCCTTGTGCCAGCCACTGTGTGAGGTGCTGGGGACTGAGCTGTGAGTGGGACACTCATGGCTCTTCATGGCTCAAAGCACCTGGACGGTACAGAGGGCAAGACAGAGGGAAGCGTCAGAGCCTGGAAACCATGGTGGCTGGGTCTCCAGCTCCACTCTGTCCCTCCGATCCATGTGACTGTGGCCACGTGACTCCCAATCTCTGAGCATCAGACTCCTTGGGAATAGCCAGGAATAGAAATATAAAAACTAACATTTATAGAATGTGTTCTGTGTACCTGACAAGCTCAGTCTTTGTCTGTTTCTTTCATCAGTCCTATGAGGGCTGCTACTGTTATCTTCATTTTACTGGTGCGAGCCAGAGGCGCAGAGAGATTAAGCAGGTCACACAGGTCACACAGCTAGGAAGCTAAGTTTGAACCAGCCCGGAGGTCGCACTGTTAACTCCAACTGATTCCACCTCCTGTGAGGACTCTGCAAAGCCATGCAGGATGGATTTGTAATGAACAGAAAGACCAAATGATGTTATTGCCATTTGACAGGTGGGAAAACTAAGGTCCAGTGAGGTTGAGGGTCTTTCTCAGATCCAAACAACATATGCTGTATGAGGCCCAGGCTCAGAAAGATGCTAGTTTTTTGACCCAAGGCCAAGTCCAGGAGGGGTGCGGTGGGTAGGGTGCTAGGTCCCAGGGGCCTTTGGGAGCTCTGCTGGGCATCGCAGAGACCAGAATCACCTTTCCCCTTTTGGTCCACTCCTTGGTCTCTCCAGAACTGGTCCGGGAAACTACAGCTGGACACCTGGCCCTGCTGGTCACCAAGAACGTTGCCATGTTTCCCGGGAATCCTGAGCGCTTCTCCGAGGGCAGCATTGACGTCTGGTGGATCGTGCACGACGGAGGCATGCTCATGCTGCTGCCCTTCCTGCTGCGGCACCACAAGGTGAGCGCCTGTACGCGAGCGCAGGCCTCCGTGTGTGCGCATGCGTGTGCTCATGAGCACACCTAAGGGCACGCCCCTGCGTCCTGGCCAAGGTCAGCCTTCACATCTGCCCTCGTGAGCTCCTGGGACGGGGATCTAGTCACTTCCGGTGTTCCAGGGTGTTAGGAATTGATTGTGTCTGCTTACAGGGAGATTGTTCTAAAGGTAAGCAATGCTTTCCTGGGGGGAACCTTAGACTTAAGCAAGGGAGGCCTGGCAGCGAGTGATCCTTGAGGTAAAGGATGTCAGATCTGCGTGTGTGTGTGAGGAGTGGGTGGGACCGGCGAGTGGACCTGAGCCTCTGGCCACGCGTCTTCTGGCTGCACAGGGGTTGGACGTTCTTGGATCCGCTTCACTCTTTGCAGGTCTGGCGCAAGTGCAAGATGCGAATCTTCACTGTGGCTCAGATGGACGACAACAGCATTCAGATGAAGAAGGACCTGACTACATTTCTGTATCACTTGCGGATCACCGCGGAGGTGGAGGTGGTGGAGATGGTGAGTCTGCAGAAGCCCCTCTGAAGTTCCGGAGTCCCCCGCACCTGCCATTCTTTCCTCTTGGTGCCAGCACACATAATGGCAACCCCAATACCCACCCACAGACGATGCTGTATCCCACCCCCCACCCACCTCTCGGCTTCTCACATCCAAGAGGTCATTTATCCACCCATTTGTCTCAGAAGAATGGACATGTCTAGTAGTACTCCTTCTATGCCAGGCACTGTTCATCTATAGTAATTCTCTCAATAACAAATAGGATAGATATAATTTCCAGAATTTCCATCTTACAGATTAGAATATTAGGGCCAGGGATTTAGCTCAGCAGCTCAAGCACTTGTTCGGTTAAGTATGAGGTCATGAGTTAGATGCCCCGTACCAAAAAAAAAAAAAAAAAAAAAAAAATTTCCAAGTGCAGATTAGAATGTTGAGGGTAAGTAATTTACCTCTTATCATACAGTAAGTGGTGGACCAGAATTCAAACCCAGGCAGGCTGGCTTTGGAGTCTGTGTGTAGTGGTTACACTCTGCAACCTCTTGCCCATTCACCTCTCCAAATGACTCATCCACCTACCCATCCCCTCTGTGTACTCTCTAAGCTACCCCTGTATTCACTGATGTATCCATTCTCGCACCTCTCCATTCATCCCTTTGTTCTTTTTCTTACTTCTTCACTCACAAGGTAATTAATTCATACATGCACCCATTAGTTCATCCATTCACATGCCTGGTCCCATCCTGGGTTAAGCAGAATGAGCTGCCTGCTGTCCCAGGTCATTTCCCTCTGTTCCATCTTTGTCTCCTGGAACAATTGGTGAAGTTAGGGCATGGGATAGGGACACCCTAGGCTGGCAAGCGGAAAAGGGTCTGCCCCTCACCCCTTGGCCTTGCACCTGAGCTCAGAGCTCCTGCTTTCCTCCCCTGCCTGCCAACAGCACGAGAGTGACATCTCAGCTTACACTTACGAGAAGACACTGGTGATGGAGCAGCGCTCCCAGATCCTCAAACAGATGCATTTGACCAAGAACGAGCGCGAGCGGGAGGTGAGGTCACCTCAGTGGGATTCTCAGAGCCTTAAGCTGCTGCCAGCTCTAGGTCTGCTCAGATCTAGGACGGGCCAGGTCTGGGATTGGCACCGCTGCCTTCGCCTCAGTCACCCCTATTCCCCCCACCAACTTCCAGCCCTGGGCTCCTCAGCAGTTGGGGTGCACACTGCTGTTGTACCTGCCCAGGTCCCCAGCCAACTCAGCATGTGGGGTAGATCCCCCGTTCTTTGTGAGATTTCTGGGAGAATAGTGGATGCTAAATATGCAAGGATGACAATTTCTGAGGGGTGTGGGCTGTCAGTGTGGGAGACAAGTGTTCATGGAATAGGCTTTCAGAAAGTGGGTAACAGATGGCTATTTAGAGATCTGGCTGATGAGTAGGAGTTAGGGGCAAACTTCCCAGGGTGTGGTTGATGGATTCTCGGGGGTAATGATGATGGGCCCCCATATGGTATAGATGTAAGATCTCTGTGTGGAACACTGGTCCTCTAGAGTATGGATGAAAGATCCACACCAGGGAGTGGAGTTCTTGGAGAAATGAGTGATGATCCCTCAGGGCTGAACACAGAATAGCTCCTGGAGATGGGCGCTAGGTCATTTGGGGTACAGGTGGCAGATCCGATAGGGAATGGTGATAGAATCATGGCTTATGAGTTTCCCAGGAGTGGTAATATATTTCTCAGAATGTGGTTGATGGGAAATTAGGGAAATGGATGGTGGGTGCCTCTCTGAGCTGGGAAGGATGGATCACACAAGGATGGGGGTGTCACCCAGGGGGTGTGATAGTAACTATGAGACATGCCGTGTGCACTGACTGCCCAGAACTGATGTGGACCAGGGAACTAGGCCAGGGCCTGGCTGTTCCAGGTGCTAACCCTGTGGTTGTCAGGTGGCAGGGAAGGGGAGGTGGGCAGATGAATGGTACAGCAGCTATTTGATCCTGAAACACTGTACCTTTTTAACAACGGGTACATTTCCAGAGAGTGCACAGCCTGGCTGAACATGGGCTGTGTGATAGCTCTTGGCAGGGTTGGGTGGTGACTCCCAGCACAGCAGGCAACCTGTGTCATTCCTTAGATGACTCCCAGAAACCTGTGTCGTTCCTTAGATCCAGAGTATCACAGATGAGTCTCGAGGCTCGATCAGGAGAAAGAACCCAGCCAACACTCGGCTCCGCCTCAACGTCCCAGAAGAGACAGCTGGTGATGGCGAGGAGAAACCAGAGGAGGAGGTGTGCAGCTGGGGTGGTTTGGTTCCAGCCAATGAGAAGAGAACATTTGGCCACCCAAGGAGTCACCAGGTCACCCTTCGTTCATCTCTCAGGTGCAGCTGATCCATGACCAGAGTGCTCCCAGCTGCCCCAGCAGCTCACCATCCCCAGGGGAAGAACCTGGGGAGGGCGAGACAGACCCCGAGAAGGTGCATCTGACCTGGACCAAGGACAAGTCGGCAGCAGAAAAGAATAAGGGGCCCAGTCCCGTCTCCTCAGAGGGCATCAAGGACTTCTTCAGCATGAAGCCGTATGGGCCTGGGGCCTGGGCCTGGGGCTTGGGCGGGGCTGGGCTGGCAAGCCAGGAAGATCTCATTCACCATAGCAGAAAGAATGCGAGGGAGGGGTCCTGGCCTGGCAGGTGCTGTCTTTGGTCTTTTCCTGGAGGATGCAGGGGCTGGGCCTGATTGCTAAGCCCGGGACTCCTGGGTTCTGGCTGAAGGTGTGGGCCCGGGAGAGGAGGGACCCTGTCTGCCCTGGGAAGATGGTGGTGATTTACAACTCAGTCTCTTCCTTTTCCTGACCCTTCTCTCTTTCTTTCTCCCTTTGCTTCTGTTGTTTTTCCTGAAGGGAGTGGGAGAACTTGTAAGTGCTTCTGCATTTTTTCATCTTTTCTCCTAGGTTGGCCAGGGTCTCTACTCACCTCACTCTTTCGTGCCCCCCCCCCCCCCCGCCCATGGCCCTGACCTCCCGGGTGTGGAATAGCCCACTTTGCAGAGGTCAGAGGGTTTGCTGGTTCCTGGTTTGCGAGGACCAGGCTCCAACAGCCTCGTTCTGGCTGTAAGGGCGGCTGAATCCGGCTCTCGCTACCCCAGCCTCACGCGCTCGCTTGTCTCCCCGCCTCCCTCCGGCAGGAACCAGTCCAACGTGCGGCGCATGCACACGGCCGTGCGGCTGAACGAGGTCATCGTGAATAAATCCCGGGACGCCAAACTTGTTTTGCTCAACATGCCCGGGCCTCCCCGCAACCGCAATGGTGACGAAAACTGTATCCTGGATGCACGGTTGGGGGAAGGGGGAGGTGGACTTCAGGGGACCTGGGTCGAGGCTTTGGGATGAAAAAGGCTGAGCCGGTCCTGCGGCAGCATCAGCACTCCGAATAGGGACGCGGGCGCGAGCCCCAGTTACGTCGGGAGGGAAGGGGCGCGGACTTTCGCCTTGACTGGCGCTCAGACATGGAGTTCCTGGAGGTCCTCACGGAGCACCTGGACAGGGTGATGCTGGTCCGCGGCGGCGGCCGCGAAGTCATCACCATCTACTCCTGAGGGCCAGGACCTGCCCACCCGGGCCCGAGCGCGCCCGGCCCGCGGCCCCGGAGACCCCGCCGCGCCCCCCGCCGCTGTCACCGTTTACATACAGACCCTGTGCCCGAACCCTGGCCCCTTCCCCCGCTGCCTGAAGCTGGAGGCCACGCCCGTCGGGGGTGACTCGCAGAGGCCGCCAGGAGTGCGGAGCCCAAGCGCCGGGCGCCCGCCGTCCCGCGGGTCCATGGCTGCGGTGGCGCTGCCTGCCGTTTTTCTAAATCCGGCCTTGTCCCGCCGGAGGAGACGCTGCAATAAACGCCGGGAGCAGGCGTGAAGAGGAGGGGAGCCGGGCCCGAGGACCCCCAGGTAGCCCACGAGGCCCTTCCCCCGTCCCTCCTCGGCCCTCGCCCTGCGTCCCTCTGCGCTGCTGCCCGTCCCGGCCACGGCCGGGAGGGCGCGGGGCGAAGATCGCGCCCGCGGCCCCGCAGCCCTTCTCGCCGAGCCGCGGGGTGCGGCTGAGCCTATACATAGTGTACAGGAGACATCGCGTGTATTTTTAACGTCCCATACTTACGTGACTAGAAGCGCAACGGACTTCTCGCCACAGCCGAGCTCTCCCGCTGGGGGGCCCGGAGAGCGGAGCCCTCGAGAAGCTGGGTTTTCCTGAAGTCCAAGAGTCCGAGAGCCAAAGTGCTTCAGGCCCAGGCGGGGGCGCGGTCCCGGCCCCTCGACACCCCCTCCCCGCTCGTCTCGGCGCTCTTCCCGCGCACCCTTGGCCTCCCTCCCTTCCCTCCAGTTCGTATCAGAGACAGGTGAGACAAGTGTCCAGCTTTTCCTGGCTTTGCCTCTCAGCGGATATGAGTTTCCACTGCGGCTGCAGAGACGCGCACAACCTCTGCTCGTCGGCTCTTATGCAAGTTGGGGCCAGGATAGGGGAGGGGCGCTCCTTAAGGGGAGAAACCCAGAGAGGTCCGCGCCCCACCGAGGAAGCCCCGCCCCGGTGCCTTCGCTGGGGAGCAGGCAGCTCTCCTCAGTTGGTTTGTCGCCTATCCCATGCCCCCTATCCCATGGCTCCTCGCCAAAGACTGAATCTTGGAGCTGGAGGGCCCCCCTCCCCAGCGTTCCCTCCCTGGGACAGGTGAGGAAGAAGGGGCAATTCTGGTTCAGGGGCCAGACCCACCGGGAGGCCCTAGCACCGCCCCTGAAGTTCCCTCCCCTGGTCACTCCGCAACTTGCGGCCTTGGCTTCGGAGACCAGCTGCCTACCCGGAGCTCTGAGGCCAGGTCCCGCTGCTAGGCAGCGGCCTCTAGCTTGTCTCCCAGGCATCGTGGCCCGGGGGAGGGCTGGAGTTACAAGCACTTTGTTCTCAGCGCCTCTCTGCCCTCCTCTAGCTAGAACCCAAGGCCTCCAGCTTTCCCCAACTCCAGTCTTCGGCGCTTCCGCTCCACTAGCCTGGTCGGAGGTGCCCCCTGCCCCTTAGAAAAGGCGTTTGGCAGGGTCCCTTCCCCCAGGGCACGTTTCTAACGCGGGGCAGGGGCACGACGCAGGCACTGCATGCTCATTTCCAGCGTCCTCTGGGATTGGGTACAGTACCTCCAGCCCCAGGGCCCTGACCTTGCACCTAGTTAGACCTCCTGCCCACATCACAGAACTGGGCCACTGGGTACACCTGACCTCATCAACTCCTTTCCTTTGAGCTCAAGGCAGAGATGCAGCTGGTGCCATCTACGCGGGTCAGGGGTGGCCAGGGGCAGGTCTGGAGATCTGCAGGTTAGGCCAAGGACTCTGAGGTTTGATCAGGGGACGGGCCTGATTTTTTTCAGGTAATAGCAAAGTAGAAGACACCAGCCCCCTGCACCCTTCCAAAGACCTCAGAGAACCATGGGTCTTCCCTGCTGGGGACTTAGCTGTTCTGGGCTGGAGTGGTGCACTGGCAGAAGGGGAAAGGGGCTGCACCAACACCAATTAGGGAACCAAAGCTGCACTATCTGGGCCCAGACTGTCTGGTTGGCAAGAGCAAAGTTTCCGTTGATGATACAAACATCCCACAACAAAAACCCAAGTTTTCTGTGCTACATGTGCAATATTTGTTATGAATGTCATGTCATTCATCAAATTATCTTTATAATCACTGTAGCTGTTTCACGTCCATTCAAGTGACTTTTATTCTGAGTGCAATATTTCAATAGCCTTGTAGTGATAACTAGTGTTGCTTTTGTTTTAGATGATCTCTGTGCAGGGCAATGCAATGAAGTTGAAAACTCTTGTAAATAGGAAAGGTTGCAAACCAAATCAAGAGTATTTATTACTATTATTACTATTATTAGGCCTGCCTTTAATTTTCAGTGTTTCAGTATTCCGCATCCTGCCTCAGTATTGATCTTGTGTTCTTTGTGCCAATATGAAAAGGAGAGGGTTGGTTCTTTCCTTTATTGTTGAATGCTCCCATTTAATGCTTTAAGGCTTTTACTGTATTTTTTAGACTCCCGTCTGCACAAAATGCAATAAAAATAATTTTATTATACCCTTCAAAGCCTGAGGTGTGCTGTTTGGATACTCTGGGGGGCCCTCCAGGAGGAACCCAGAATCTCAGTCAGAAGCATTAAACTTTGCTGACAGAAAAGCGGAGCGGATGCCTCCGGTCCAGTTTGTGTGCAGACAGCACTGCCCCGAGACCAGCTCCTGAGACTGGGAAGCACTTCCTGGGTGTCAGGCTGCACTCACATCCCCTGCGAGCCTGTCAGCCTTTCCTAGGGGAAACTCAGCCCTGCGGACACTCTGCACTCACCCACAGGAAGCTTATGCCACTCACCCAAGTTTATTAAAGGCTCTCTAATCTCTAAGGCTTTTTTCAGATTTGTACTTAGATTCTGCCAACCACCCACACAATGGATGGAACAAAGGGTAACAACTGAGACCAAAAAAAAAAAAAAAAAGAAAGAAAGAAAAGAAACCCCCTCCCCAATCAGCCAGAAGAGGCCTTTATGATGGTTCCTCCATTTCTAGAACAAGAGGACACACCTGCTGACACACTGTGGTCTGAAAGAAGTAGGGTGCACTGTAACCAGCCAGCAGGCTTTCACTGCTTTCATACTGGGGACTGAACCTGGGCCTATGACCAAGGAACCTCCTCAGTCCATTTTTTATTTTGACACAGGGTCCAGCAAGTTGCCCAGGCAGGCTTGAACTTGTGCTCTTCCTGCCAGACTACGGAGGTTATGGGGGTGCATTACCATGCCTGGCTAATGCTTCTCCCTAGGTCAGCTACACAAGATAGGCTTCAGAGTGTGAGGCCTGATCCCCAGCTGAGGACAAGAAAGGGCCGGCTCTGGTTCTCAAGGCAGGGATCCCTATGATCCTTGGAAAGTGTCCTGCAAACAGGAGTTGCACATATTCATAGCTAAGAAGATGAACACAGTTCTGACTTTTTCATTTTAATTAAAAAGTAACCATTTTGTTTTAACAACACAAGAGTTCCAAAGAGGGGAAAAACCCAATATATAACACAAACAGCTCAGAACATAAACTGCTGCCATTTGGGGACCTTCAGTTTTCAAACCACTGTTTGCTCAGCCATGGCAGGGACTCAGCTGAAGTTACTGCTCTCCCTCGTGCCTTGCCAGAGGCCCCTTTTGATTTGATCCACGGGGCTCTGACACACACAGTCCCTAGGGAGAGGGCAGATTCCTTTGGCTCCATTCAAAGCAGCAGCCAGAAGCCCTCCAACAATCTTACTCTGGCTCCAAAGTTATGAACACCCACTCTCGAGAACACGTTCAGCTATCAAAAGTCTGACATCAAATATTCCCTACTTCCTGCTGCTCAAAAAACAGAACAAGAATCTAGATGAAAACAAAAGCCTGGGATTTTGAGTCAAAAATTCAAGCCATTGAAAAAATGGGTGTCCATGGTCAAGAGCCTAGGGCTGCTTTCTCAAGAGCAGCCTCCCTAAGTGCTGCTCGCTAGAGGGAGGTGCTGACAGTGTTATGAGGGGAGAGTGGTGGCGCCCAGATTCACAGTTTGTTTCTAACTGCTGGTGACTGGAGCTGTTCAGTCTCCTGGAGATCTTCCAATGAAACGGAAGAAGAAAAAAAAAAACTCCAACAAACTACCCCCTGATGCAGGCAAGAGTTCCTCTCTCTGTGGCCACCATGGTCATTCTTCACCAACCCATCAAAGCTGATCTGCATCCTTGAGCAGAGACCCATGCTCATGGGAAGGGGACATGGTGACACTGCCTGCCATACTCAGCCGCTCCTCTACTGAACTAGTCAGGAGCTCAAGCTCTGGTAGATGTGCGTGAACGGGAAAAGGTAGGCCCACAATGAACACAGGTGGTACCTACTTACATGTAAAATGCCATTCAAACTCAGCCAACTGGGATATGGCTTCTTTCTTTTCTCCCCCAAATCCAGCAGAGGGACCAGAGAAACCTCATCAAATATAAACTGAGCCCAGACATGTATAACTGCCTGAGCAACCCAAGAGATATTTTCTACCAAAAAAGAAAACAAGACTCCCCCAAATGCAGTATAAACTGATTCTGTAAGGAACAAGCAATACAGCCTTGGGCAAGGAGGAGAGCAGGTGGTAGAAACTTATGATATTTGATGTAGACCTGGAGAGCGCAAAGAACATCCTCCAAACAACTCTATTTAGAATGAAGTGGAAGGAGGCCAGGGATGAGGGCACTGGGAACAGTTGAATGAGTTAGCCTCAGTAATGCCTCTGGTAAGATCCCATTGGGGCCTGGGGCCGTCCTACTTGTGCTGTGGTTTGGCTAACCAGGTGGGAGAGAGCAGGGCCACTCTGGATGAGGGTGTCCAGAGCCTTCTGCACACTTGGATTGTCAAAGTTAATACCTGTGGAAGACACGGGCCTTTGGGTAGCCATGTTGCTAGCAGGTGTTAGGCAAGTGGAAGGCTGGCCAAAGAGCCCTTGGGAAGGAGCCCCAGGCCTGGGGCCCAGGTTCCGAGCAGATCCTGCCTGTCCCAAAATATTTGGAGGCTGATTGCCAGAGGCCTGTGATCTTTGCTGAGGCTGGCTGTTTGCTGCTGTGGAAAAATTCTGGTTCTGGGTGCTTCCAGCAGCAACTGAGGGTGATGCAGAGCTGCTGTTGGCCACGACAGTGCCACTGTTGAAGAGGCTAAGGATTTTGGCCTGAAGCTCTTGCTGGGAGGTGGGGGGTGCGGCTGGAGCGGATGTAGCAGAAGGGAGCACTTGGCCACTCTGGAGCGGTTGGGAGCTTGGCTGTGTCTTCAGTGAAGTACCCGAGGTCGCCCCGAGTGGTTGGCGGGAAATCGGGCCTGGAAGACAGAAGCCAGAGGCATCTGGTTCAGAGTACCCCCAAGGGCAGAAGGCCTAGTAGGCCAGGGAAGCACAACAATCACTGAATCACATCAATCTCACAGTACACTGACAACAACATTAACTTCCCAAAGGGGCCACTGTATGGTGTGTGCTGTTTATAGAAAACAGCCTGAGTCCCAAGAGAACTGCTAAACAAAAGGTGCATGTGTGTGTGCACCCATCTTGGCCAGCAGGAAGCCAGCAACACTAGACAACACTAGACCCACTAACACAGTTCAAGCATTAGAAGTCAGTACTTGAATTGAAAGTTATCATTATCATTAATTACAGTATGGATGGCCCACGGGAGAACCCAAGATACGGGCTCATTTCCCTTACCCACCCCAACGAGCCCTGGGCCTGCCACCCTCCCAACAGAGGCTGGGGATTAGAGAAATGCAGAGTCAGAACTTCACCTCGGCCCTGCCACGTAGCTCACCAGGCAGAGAGTCGGTGCTGCTCCTCATCAGCCGCTCCTTTCGCTCTCGAAGGTAGTTGATGATCTTGTCTGTCTCTTCGGCGGTGAGATACCTGTTATCTGCCAGCAGGTTGATGAGGCTCTGTATGGCTGGAGGGTGACCCCCACGCACTCCTTCCTCGGGGCCTCCTCGCTCTCTTTCCTGTAGGATGGCTTCATCAGCCATCTTGGCCGCCTGTCGGGCAATCTCCTCACGTTCCTTCTCCCGGCACTCGTTCTTGTAACGCTCATAATTTCTGGCCACCAGCACCATGGCATCTGCCTGGGGCATGTTGCGATGCTCTGGAGGAGGAAATGACATGAGTTATTTTCTCCCATGGCAGACTTGAGTGCCCGCCTGCTGTATTCTACCAAGCCTTTTCTAACCTCAAACCAGCAAGAAAACAATTTTGGTGACAAAAAGCCTTAAGATTGGGAATGGGGAGAGGCAGGATGGGAGATAAGAGGCGAATGAGTATGTTTGGTGGGGAACACGTACATTGTATAGAGCTATTTATTTGGGGGAATTCCTAGATCACAGGCTTGTAGTAAAAACCAAAGAAACATGACAGCCTCCCACAGATTCAAAGAGAGTACGTGGGGAATAACCACGGGAGGCAAGCCCAGCAGCCTCTAGACCAGCAGCAGGAGGCCAAGCAGCCCTCTGTAAAGCCTGACTCTCTCCTGTGCTCATCAGGACAGAGCTGGCTTACTGATTTTGAATTTATTAGTTCAAAAGCCATGGATTAAGAACAAACCATGACCCTAAATAATCTGTATTCACTGGTAGGCAACAGGGTCTTACAGGGTGATAAGAAGAATTCTCAGAATTTTATATAAATGTCTTCACATATGTTGCAGACTGTTCTTCAGAGGCAAATAATTCACTGGCGATCCTTACATATGCTGACTATGGGTGTCAGAAGGCAGGTCATCAGCTAGTTGAGTCTCAACACTCAGGGCTCAAAACTCTAAAAGCTATTTCAGATTAAAAAAAAAAAAAGCTATTTAAAGGAACATAGCTTGGCCCTCTAGAGGGTTTGAACTTCCTATTTTCATAGTCCATCTGCTTGCTTCTCAGCACACTGATGAACAGCATCCTAAATGCCTGTGATATTATCTGTTCCCCATTTAGGTAGCTGAGTAAAAGCAACCATACTATGGTAGTCAGTGCAGTATGTGCTAACGGTCTGCTGGACAGAGCTAGATCTCACTACTGAGATGAGGTGTGTATTTCATTCCAACTCTCTCATCAGTGACTTTGTACTGGCAGATTGAAAGGAGACACTGTGGGACTATGTATGTAATCAAGAATCTGCACATGCTAATCCCTACCCCCACCTCCACAACTAGTTGCTATCTGCCAGCACTTACTGTGTACACCTAATGAGTATATAGCAGGTGCAGAATTGTATACTAAGAGAATATAAACACAAATAAATGACTATGCAAATCTCCAGTGCACTAAACCTAGAAGGGCTCTACCATATTTGACCTGAGATGCATGAGACATCTGCGCAGAACCCACTTCTTATGGTAAGGCATAGAAGAATATGCTACTGACTATCGCTGAGGCTGTGGTCTACTTGGGTCATCATACCTTGTGGAGTTCCAAACATGATGTTGACTGTACAGGAACGGTGAATCTGGTGTTGCTGGGTGATGACAATAGCAAAAGGAGACCCTCCTCTGCTAACATCCTCCAAGGCTTGTGACAGTGACACCTC